GTGATAACCATAGAGGGATTAGTCTGACTAACATAGTATCTAAAATACTAGCCTCAATAATTATGGGGCGCCTAACTAAGACTCGTGAACTTCAAACACGAGAAAATCAGTCTGGCTTCAGACTTGGTCGTGGCTGTATCGACCACATATTCACCATTCGTCAAGTTTTAGAACACAGACATGCTTATCGGCGTCCGACAATGATAGTTTTTCTTGACTTAAAATCAGCATTTGACTCTGTAGACCGAGAGGTTCTGTGGCAGTGTCTGTCATTGAAAGATGTATCTGAGAAGTACATAAACCTTGTGAAGGCTCTTTACTCGAACACTACCAGTCGAGTGAGAGCTTATGGCGAACTGTCATATGATTTTACAAACTCAAATGGTGTCCGTCAAGGCTGTCCACTATCCCCATTTTTGTTTAACTTCATTATAGACCTGTTGCTGGAAATAACACTCTCGTCGACTGAATTTTCTGGAATTCATCTTCTACCAGGGGGACCACTAAGCGACTTAAAATACGCAGATGACATAGTCCTGTTTGGTGAAGACGCTGACAAAATGCAGAGTCTTCTGTTAGAACTGAGTAATAATACCAGGATGTTTGGGATGCGTTTCTCCCCATCCAAATGTAAATTGTTACTCCACGACTGGCCTGCGTCAACACCTGAACTAAGGATAGGGAGTGAAGTAGTCGAACACGTCGACAACTTCACTTATCTTGGAATTTTGATCAGCCCTAGTGGGTTGGGGTCTGACGAAATCTCAACACGGATTCAAAAAGCTCGTTTGGCTTTTGCCAACTTACGTCACCTATGGCGAAGGCGAGATATCCGTCTATCAATTAAGGGACGAGTATACTGCGCAGCAGTTCGCTCTGTTCTACTTTACGGCTGCGAAACATGACCATTAAGAGTAGAAGATACTCGTAGGTTAGTAGTATTTGACCACAGATGCCTTAGAAATATTGCTCGCATCTGCTGGGATAACCGGGTATGTAATAGTGAGGTTAGACTCAGGGTATTAGGGAATGATGGTAAATCAGTTGATGAGGTGATGAATCTTCATCGACTGAGATGGTTGGGCCACGTGTTACGTATGTCTGAACACCGATTACCACGACGCGCAATGTTGACTAGTGTAGGGGATGGTTAGAAGAGAGTTAGGGGCGGCCAAACCAAAGCACGGCATCAGTGCTTGAAGTCACTAACTTCTAGTCTGAACCATGTTGGTAGATGCAGACTACCTGGTCGGTGTCTGCGTGACTATCGTAACCATTGGTTGGAGACTCTAGGTGACATGGCTCAGAATCGATCACAATGGCGTAGGTGTATACACTCTTTGTCTTCCCTTAAACCTTGAGATTAAAATTGCTTCATAACTTTTTTCCTTCCTATACTATATCCTTATATACAACCTTTCTTTATATACTACCACCACTAAATTAATTACTTCTATGAATCCGGTGTTGATCTTGTTGTGCTAACTAGGTATGGCAACTTGGACCGATGCATATATGTGCCTGGTCCTACGTTGTTGCTGACTGACTGACGAGTACTTAGTTCAACATCCTCAAGGTCACTTCAGCGTCGCTCGAAGATTCTCCACTAACTTTGGTCTCGCCTCTTAATCTTCTTAAAATATAAATTACAGGTTATCAACTCTCCGAGCGTCAAAATGTTCTAAATTATCTTCTCATTCCCATGGTGACGTGTCGATATTTTTTCTTTAACATTGTTTAATCAACGATAACTATGATGCTAGATGTGAATTTCAAGTAGTGTGACGAAATACTACTGAGTTAAACTGTTTCATGGCCTCAACAAGACACAAGCATGAGCTACTTCTAAGTATGTAGTATGAAATTGCATCAATTTGTTTTTAAACACAACATAAAATGTTTGATTTTAAGACAAACGCATAAATTATTCATCACAAATATTGTGTGAGTTTAGGGATATATCATTTAATTTCTTACTGTAGTATGTAAGCGTGTCTGAATTGTAATGAGCTCATCAAGTTAGCTGACCGTTTCTCTATAATTCCGATCATCAGTGTGATTGATCAATGTGAATGTTCGTTGTCTACTCTAGTCGGATGAAAATGGTATGATCTACTAACCTGCGTTGAAGCTTTATCTGGTGGTTAGCACCCAGTGTGAATCGCCCTCATGCAGTATCCAGGTACTGCATGACGGTGACCGTATAAAAAAAACATAACATTATTGAAAAGATATATTCTTTAGACGTGAAGAATGAATGCGACCATTGACATATGGTCCAGTTCTTGGCGCGAAGTTTATTAGTCTGCGTTAGTCATGCTTTATCTTGATGACCTTTACGAGAGGATGTCCAGTGACCAACGATTTGCCGTCTGATGTAGAAAAAGTTCAGCCCGATGAACGATTTGACTGGGGTTTGGTAATATTTTATTGGGCCTACAGATGGGTTTTGGAATTTACGAGTTTAAACCAATGGTCATACAGGTCCTGGGAATCTTGAATTACTGAGTAATATACGAATAACATTTAACCTTTGGCTACCACAACTTTGCGACACCTTTATCACTTCGTGTAATGGAACCACAGGTCAAGAGTTATTGTGTGCCTATATGTGACTGGAGATAATCTGCAACCGGAAAAAGAAGTTACGCAAACAGACAACTTAGTGTTTCCATCCACTAGCCTCCGTTTGCGCGTATCGATTAGTTGATTGTGATGTTGTGGGAGGTCTATAACGATGATTGGCATACAAACAACCACTACAACGAAAATCCAGTATATGGGTTTGTGTAATACCACGTAAAGATAGACACACCTTTTTACCTTGTGTGCGCTATAGACCTTCCGTTTTCCACCTGTAAGTTTAAAACAGATTCGTGAAGCCAGTTGTTAGAATTTGCAAAAAAGAACGCTAACTTCTGCGCCAGTATCGTCAAGGTAGCGGACTTTCGTAATCACATCAGTGACATATAACAGACAGGTATGTTCGCTAGCTATGGTTGCTGGTAAGGCTGGGAAGTTTCCCGAAATGTTTTTCGTGTTAATCGATTTTGAGTTCGGAAAATTGCAGAGTTTCCTGCAATTTCGTGAACATTTTCCGTACTGGTCATGATACCAACACCAGTCGGGGTTATCTGTATCCCATGATCTAGGGACAGATCGCCTACGTGAATTACTTCGTCGCAGGACTTGTGGCCGCTTACGGTCATTGCAAAATCAAAGGTGACGTGTCGGCGTATGACACAGTTCCGTAATGTCATCCCGTGTCACTTGAGGCTTTCATTTGACTGAAATAACCTCGGCATTAGCAGGTTTCGTGATCTCTAAACTGCTATCTGCAGATGTAGCCCGCTCGTCTACGGCGTTGTTTTGAAACAAAACCAGCACATCTTGCACCTGTTGACGAAGTTTAGATAAGAAACGTTTTCTGAATAAAACATCATCGAATGTTCTTTGGCCAATCACCTCTCGCATTCTTAACAACATATCTGTCGCAGATCCATGTTGCAGATCGATGTTATTGAGGAGTTGACCTAACCTCCGTCAATCAGTTAGATATCTGCGTTTCAGAACAGACTTATTTAAAGTTCCATAAGGTTCTGGAACATCACTAGTGAACATGATAGGTGTGACGTACCTGTTAAAATCATGCTATAATGCCTTTACCACTATGAGGATATGTGCACGTGAATCGGCCACGCCGTGCTCGTAGAAGTCAGCCTCTGCATATCAGAACCACATCTCGATCTCGTTCGGTCAGAATGGCATTAGCTGGAATGTGGTAGGCTAAAGAAGTTTTTTTATTTTGTTTTCTTATTTAGACACATAAACATTGGTACAAGGAAGCACCAGATAAATATGCGCCTCACAAATCTCATTCGATATGTGTGAGGGCTGTAATACTGCACAGGAGCCCAGACTGAAGCAGGTGGTTTTCTTAGGGGACCACACACGGAGCCTTTGATCTAAAGGTCTAGTCCACAAGGCAGTGGAGCATCGTAAGGAGATGCAGTTCCATGGTAGCCGGTGACCAACAGTTAGTTCATACGCCATTTGTTCCTTCAGGAGCCCATGTGCACCATTGGTTTGGAATCAGGGTTTTCCAACTCACCTAGGTGGATCCTCCACATCCACCAACCCGGTTAAAACACCGGACATTCGCTTTTCGTCCTATCACTTTTGTGAACAACACCCTCGCCACGAGAAGGCAGTGAGTAGGACTTCCCTGGCAGAGGTTATATACGCGTGGCCATGTGAGAGCATTTGGAGAGGGAGAGCAGACTCTCCCCACTCTCGATGTACCAGGGCATTTTGGGGCAAATTGGATGGAATCTTAAGTAACTCAGGTGTCTGTTCTATCATGGTGTAGATTCAATATATCAATGAAAGATAAAAAGATATCCGAAAATATGAAAAAAAACATCAAAATATGTAAGAAATAAAAAAGTGATACATAATGTTCCAACAAAGAACAGACAATTTACGAATTGGTGCACCAGATCACGTCGGTTCACTACTAAAGATGTCAAAGATATTCGGAGTTTAAGAACATACGTACAAGTAACACGTTTATAACCGAGGTCTGCCAACCCGGTCAAATCGGAAGTCAGGAGTGAAGAGGTTCGAAGATATATTCGAAAGGTTATGTATGTATAGAGAAGCGTTTAATCTAAGCAGGCTAACGGTTGTAAGGGATGCGTAGCACGAGATATATACTTGTGATCTGCTACGGATATGTGACCGAGCGTCTTCAGCTTGGTGAGTCCATTAAAACTAATCAGGTCAGCATCAAATGTCGAAGACTGACGGAGCTATTTAGGTCAAGGGTTTATTTGCCGTTACAAGAGTCAGTTTCCGGACATTTTCAAAGTTCCTGAGATAAATATATAAAATTATTATGAGTCAAGATTAACTTATACAGTTAAGGGGATTACAGAACTGATCTGTAACCAGAATACTGGATATTGGACAACCATTAGCCCTGACTTCGTGTTATTTAAACTGCAACGTTTCAGCGTGGTGTACTTGGTTTAGATTTCTGTGCTGATATACATAGCGGTCGACATTTTTACCTATACATATATTGCAGTTCATCATGCCGAAGTGCATTAAGATGGATCGTTTTCGATACATAAGCGGTGAGGCTTGGCGTGCTTTAACAGCAGTAAGAACCAGAGATTTCACAAACCTATTTTGCTTTTAGATCGAGATGGGGCTAAAAAATCATGAAGTCGTGCCTCCGGAGTTGGCACTCAAAATTTCTCACCTCAGACGAAGTTGTATCGGCTTCAGCCATCTAGTTCAAGAACAGTTGATATTAAATAAGTTGGTAGCCTACGAAACTGATAACAGACATTGTAAGTGTTCCTCATGATGACCATGATCTTATCTGAAATTAACTGTTACAGTATACAAGCAGTTAACTTAGTGCTAATTTGCTTGTATATCTTTAACTGTCTTACTATGATATTGGCGCTTCTGAAGGCTAATAATGTATTTTCTTTCCAGCTATGAAAGGATATCGTCTTACCAACTTGGGCTATGACTACCTTGCTCTTAATCAGCTTTTCAAATCAGAACAATTGGCTAGTCTTGGAACAATGATTGGGGCTGGAAAAGAGTCTGATGTCTACATAGCTACTGCTGGTGCGCGCTGCGGGCGTCTGTCAGATGATTCAGAAGACCTTTTGGATGAGTTTCCAAAAGAAGGTGATGCAGTCGTTGTTAAATTTCACAGACTTGGGAGAACGTCGTTCAGAAAAGTAAAGGAAAAACGAGAGTATCATCAACACAGAAGTAGTTGCTCCTGGTTGTATTTGGATCGTCTTGCGTCTAGACGCGAGTTCGTTATGATGCAGGTAAGTGGATGTTCCATACTAAAGCTTTCTAGAGCCTTCGGAGTAAGGGCGTTCCTGTTCCTATCCCTTACACCCACAACCGAAATGCTGTCGTCATGTCATATGTTGCTGATAGCTTGCCACTTTACAGAATACTTCCTAGTATTTTGAATTCCAATGAGTCTGCTCTTGCACAATCACTTTACTATCAAGCCAAAGATATATTGGAGAGGGTTGTTTCTCTTGGTCTTGTTCATGGTGATTTGAATGAGTTTAATCTGATGGTTTCCGATTTGGACCCTGAAGAAAATATGGATATTAGTAATCCCAAGCTGGTTCTTATTGACTTCCCTCAAATGATCAGTCGTGACCACAAATTAGCTAACACGTAAGCTTTTTTCAGCCAAATAATACTTTCCGAGGTCCGTCTATATTTTTAACATCTTAAATTTCTGTTTATTGGTTACACTCCAGAACGTGCGTAAACGTCATGATGGTATTCAACTCATTCGTTTTAGTACAAGCTGTTTGTAGGACTCCCGCTTCATCCAGTGGTTTTCTCAATGTTACTTCAACAACGTCACTGTTGGTATAAATCCTTCAGAAACCATGACGCTCAAAACTTAATCTACAGAATGGTTCGAGTGCATTGAATCACAAAACACTACAAATCTTGCCTCAACGTAGTCGTGTTGAGCCGTCTTAATTCAATACCACAAGCCGGAGACAGTCTCAGCTAGAAGTCAGGTTGCATGTTGATTATGACTACCAGTGATCAGTCAGTCATAATCAGCATAAAAACTGCCACAAGCATGAGTTGACCCAAGTTCTGATTATCAAACTATCACAATGAAATGAAATTGACAGGTGTACCAATTAATTTGACAGCAATCATAATGGGGAATACTTGATATAGAGTATGGTTCAAAAAGATGAAGTGGGAGACTGTATATAATTAGATACTAGAACTCACAATTTGAAGTAAGACAAAGAAAACCTACCTGCCTCCCTACAACCAGTTTTGAGTCATTTCACCCTACGTCCTCACCCATTGATGGCGGTTATCACGCTAACCCCAGCTAGGTAGTCTGCGTCTGCCAATGTGGTTCAGGCTAACAATAGTAGAACCGAGGGAAGCAAAAAATTGCTGTAAAAGAAATCCGGCAAAATGCGTTATATTTAAGTTGAGTGGTTGTTTCTCCTTAGTATCCGTTGACACAGTCGCTTTCGTTTCGAAAAACAATCCTGAGATTCGTATGGCTGTTCAAAATTCGCTTGAAAACCCACTAAAATCGATGATCCCACTTCATATTCTGCACCCATCAATAAGTATGCGCTGTATTATAGGTAAGCAATAAGTTGGCTGGCATCATAAAGGTTCATACAAACATAAATAGTTTATAGAAGGGGTTTTGTGGAGATTTAGTATTTATCATTGTTGAAAGCGTGAGTCAATTGAAGCTAGACCACCATGGTTCGTGGATGCGCACTTCTGAGGAGTCCCATAATAGGACGAAACGGCCGTCCAGTGTTTCCAGGTTTTCCATGGTGGTCTAGCTTCAATTGACTCACGCTTTCAACAATGATAAATAGTTTAGTAAACTTTATTATATATCTTCGGTTTCAAATGTCTTCCCGGTGAGTGTAAAAGTAATTAAGCTTATACCAACCAATGCTGACACAAAAATACTTTCTGTAGCTGGTGTTTAAAATCGTATAGCTAAATTGTAGTTTGACTATTTTGATTTTACGAGTTTTTGATTACGTCAATTTTGAATGACAGTGAGAAATCGGTCAAAGTAGTTAATTTTTTCTTTCCTCATCTGTTGCATTGAGTTCTCTTTTTAATCTCATTTTCTGCTTAGTTTTTTCTGTTTCCACAAATGTAATGTATATCAACATTCGTCTATAAACCGTTGTGTTAAGTCCTACATTAAGTATCCATTTTAAATCCAGGAGTTTAGAAATTAAGGTATCGTTTTTAGAGATTTTCAAATGTATTTTATTTTCTTCCTCTATTAGTCAGTATGCTTCCTTTCTCATTTTTTCTCTAGTATTTATGAACGAGATGCAGAAGGTGTTGTCAACTTTTTCAGCCGTTATTTCGATATTCCACTCGACGATCTACCATCTTCCCTCGATTCTATCAAGTGAGTTTTTCCCTCGTTTCCTTTTTGCCTTTTGGGTTACTATTTTTATTTATTTTACCACACACTGGTACAATCGGGTACCAAATACATGTGCGTCACAAAATAACAGTAAGGTTGTGAAGAGACAAAGAATGTAGGGTGAGTACAATAAATGAAGAGCAACAATGGACAGAAGTTAGTGAGTGAAATAATGATAATAACAGTGATGGGAAAAGCAGTCCAGTTTCGAAAAATACAAGCAGAGAAAATTTTTTCAGTTAAGGAAGTAACGTTCACTTTTATGAAGAAAGTTAAAGCAGGGTAGTCACAGGCTCCTATTCCCGGCCACATCTGATAACGTTTCAAGCCACTGTTGGACCATCTCTAAGTCCTCAACCAGGGAGTTCTTCATACCGTGACACCATGTCGCCCACAAATGCCCTGGTACGGCTGAGAGTAGGGTGAGTCTGCTCTCCCTCTCCAAATGCTCTCATATGGCCACGCAAATATATAGCCTCTGCCAGGGAAGTCCTACTCACTGCCTTCTCGTGGCGAGGGTGTTGTTCACAAAAGTGATAGGACGAAAAGCGAATGTCCGGTGTTTTAACCGGGTTGGTGGATGTGGAGGATCCACCTAGGGGAGTTGGAAAACCCTGATTCCAAACCAATGGTGCACATGGGCTCCTGAAGGAACAAATGGCGTATGAACTAACTGTTGGTCACCGGCTACCATGGAACTGCATCTCCTTACGATGCTCCACTGCCTTGTGGACTAGACCTTTAGATCAAAGGCTCCGTGTGTGGTCCCCTAAGAAAACCACCTGCTTCAGTCTGGGCTCCTGTGCAGTATTACAGCCCTCACACATATCGAATGAGATTTGTGACGCGCATATATATCTGGTGTTTCTTTGTACCAATATTTATGTTTAAATAAATAATAATAAAATATTGTCGTGCACCGGTTACTTTTCCGCTTTCTCCAGCGTCGGGTAATACTGCACAATGTGGAATTTTCTGGGACGACATTTGTAGAAGCAATCAAAGTCGGTGTTACAAGATAATAACCGATTGAATTATCATCGCTGCACCTGAACACACGATGCCGAACCACTGCATTACTAACATGGTGTTGCCACTGGATATCAGCGCTCCTTCGGAGACAACTGTGCTCAAACACAGAAAGTCGTTTAGCATCCTCAACTTGGAGAAGCCAGGTTTCACAAGTATAGAGCGAAACTGCTCTCACCGACGCGTTTGTAGATCCGACTTTTTGCAGCCAGACTAATATCGAGAATGCTCCGAAGGTTGCTCAAAGTCTTCCTCCAGGCAATAGACCCATACCACCATTACTTACATCCATCAGAGCTTTTTCCGGAACGTCATTTATAACAAAGTTGAAGTGGAATGGTGAGATTTAGAAGATCTGCCAACCTTACTGCTTGAATGAAAAAAAAGGAGAGAGGTGGTTGTATACACTCACTCAGCCTAAGGTGTTTGTATATAGGGTTTTTAAGATGTTAATAATCTCAGACATATCATTCTTCAATAGACAATCCCAGAAAACAGTCCTGCCCAACAAGTCACAGGCAACCCCAATGTCAGGAAACATGATTGTTGGCCCGTAATAAATATGACGGTGTTCTAACATTTGGCGGAGGGTGAGGATATGATCAATACATCGTCAACCAGAACGAAAACCAGCCTGCTCTCTGTGAGTCAGTCTTTCTCGGGTTTTGAACAACATACGAAGTGTGACAGAAACCAATAGTTTGAACGCAACCGTAAATAGACTTATCACCCGATAGCTATTACAGGAACGACATTAACCCCTTTTAAAGATAGGGACAATTATCGACTCATTCCATGATATTAGAGCACCCTCTCTCTTTGTAAACAACTCAGTCAGTTCCTTAACCAGAGGGTTTCCATCACCTTTAAAAAGAGCCGGAGGTGAGTGGTCTGGACCTGGTGATTTGTGACTTTTTAGAAGTCGGGGTTCTTTGCGGACTTCCGCCTCGTTAAGTCGATCGGTCGTCACCGACCATAGAGAACAGGGTAGTCTGATGGATGTCGCCGGGCAACACATCATCTGAACCGTTACGCGAAAAACTCTGTCCATTGTCTAAGACGCCGGGAGATGTTATAACTTGGTATCCCGTCATCTCCACAGACTTCCTACTGTCATTGACTCGGATGAGTTAAAACAGCTTCTGGGAGTGACCAGTAGCAGCTGCTGTATCCAACTTGTTAGCACGCTCTGACCATCAGGCTTCTTGATCCTCACGCAAGCTTTGCACAATTCCACTACGCGACAATCTTCGTTTATGGTCAAACTCGAGATCACCCGGAGTAGACCGGCGTGCTTCAATGGGTTGTAAGGAGCTTGTAGAAACCTAGTCCTTATAAGCGGGACGTTTTTAATTTTAACTAATTTATCTCTCGTAAACGTAATTCTATCTTATCAAAGCAAACATAAGTTCATTGAGAAATCTATCCAAAAATAAGATCAACATCTAACCACAGGCAAAATCGACATTGACTCTTAATAGGTTAACTTCGCTTATCTACACTTACTGGGCTATAGAAGAAATAAATTGGATCACAGATCGGTTCTTTTTCAACAAATCACCGCTGCTAATCGTTTGTATTAGACGACTAAATTTATCTCACCAAGTAATTCATTACATACTAATTGTCAGTCAGTCACAACGTAGAACTTCGTACGTACGTACATCAGTTCGAGTTGCCATAGCACATTAGCACAGAGATGAAGTTGTCGATTCAAATCCCATAGTGGTGGAAGCAGTAAGAGTATAAGTAGTAATCGGAAAGATTAGGGTTTGAAGATGTTATTCAAGGAGTATAATACGGTGAAATAAATTTTGGATTTTATTTATTTATTTAAACAGATAAATATTGGTACAAGGAAGCACCAAATAAATATGCGCCTCACAAATCTCATTCGATATGTGTGAGGGCTGTAATACTGCACAGGTGCCCAGACTGAAGCAGGTGGTGTTCTTAAGGGACCACACACGGAGCCTTTGATCTAAAGGTCTAGTCCACAAGGCAGTGGAGCATCGTAAGGAGATGCAGTTCCATGGTAGCCGGTGACCAACAGTTAGTTCATACGCCATTTGTTCCTTCAGGAGCCCATGTGCACCATTGGTTTGGAATCAGGGTTTTCCAACTCCCCTAGGTGGATCCTCCACATCCACCAACCCGGTTAAAACACCGGACATTCGCTTTTCGTCCTATCACTTTTGTGAACAACACCCTCGCCACGAGAAGGCAGTGAGTAGGACTTCCCTGGCAGAGGCTATATATTTGCGTGGCCATATGAGAGCATTTGGAGAGGGAGAGCAGACTCACCCTACTCTCAGCCGTACCAGGGCAATTTGGGAAGAGAAAAAGGATACGAACTTAGTCAAATGTCTGGCAAATAGAGCTAGGAAGATTTGCTCAGTCGATTCTATCAACAATGAGTTAGAGGTTATCCATAATATGTTGATTGAAAGGGGTTATCCAAAAGTATTCCTGATGAAACATTTGCATTTAACAAGTAAGAAAATAAAGATATCAACAGCTGCGAAGAAACCACTCTTCCTAAAACTACAATTCAACGGCTATTTAGCTGATGTTGTACTACGGGATAGACTGACTAAAGCAATTAAGAGAACGTTTAATGGAGACGACCTCTTTCTTTCTTACTCGACACGATCTATGGTGATTCCCCAATTAAAGGATAAGTTGCCTGGTTATGCCACTTCTATGTGTATCTATAAATTCAACTGCTCCTGTGGAGAAAGCTATATTGGGCGCACTACCAGACAACTGAACCAAAGATTTAGTGAACACCTCCCTTCGTGGTTAGGAAAAGGTATGGTCAAGTCGATACGGAGCTCGATTCTTTCACACTTGATTGATAGCGGTCATGAAGGTGACAGAAACCAGTCTTTTAAAGCTATTTACCGTATTCCTACCACTTTTCCTTATGGGGTTCGATCTCGTCTCCTACACATAGCAGAAGCTATAGGAATTCGATCCAACAACCCAAGTCTTTGTGTTCATAAGAAATTTGTAACACCCTTATCCCTCCCTTGGCCTTAATAAATAATTTATTTTCCATACTCTTTCTTCGTTTATTTTTCTTCACTCCCCTATCAATTATTTACTTATAATTTTTCTAATATTCGCTTCCAATTATCTAAACACTTCTTATTACGTAATCTTATAATTTCTATGATTGTTATCTCAGTGTCTATATTTTCCTAATCATTGATCTATTTTCCTATTATGTAACATTGTTTCAAGCCTTTTATTATTCTTATCACAACTAGTACACCTGTCATTACACTATCAATTTGTACTTTTCACTTATTATTAATTTTGATTATGTAATCTATTCCACTGTTATCATTGACTCATAAACTGCCTTGATTGGTTTAATAATTTCGTATATGCATATCAATATTACTGTATATTGGAATAGTAATACACTGTATAGCCTGATGAGGATCTAATCGAAAACAATATTGTTCGCTTATATATGTTGTTCTAAATCACAATATGGGAATTTTTCAAATTTTGAAAAAACATCTGACCAAAAAGCCTTTACATTAATTGATTTAGTCCTAAATACTGACGACGAAATACTTTAAGTCTTTGCAACTGTTAGCAGTTCTTTTCAATTATTAGAATAGTAATACACTGTATAAATGCCCACATATTTTTTTTGTTTATATCTTTAATTTATCCAATTAAATATCAAACTTCTTCAAGACTATGGAAGTTCACACGATTTTTTTTTCACTTGTCACGTCTTACATCGAGTTGTGTGAACGAATTTCATTAGGATATAGATATGTAGCGAAAACTGCGGATAACACTCATATTTGAACATTTACTATAGGTCTAACAACTTTCAGCTACAAATTTGTGTTTACTAATGGTCCTTGTGCACAGTTCACATACTAACCTACTTTACCAGACTCATTCCAGTCCTTAGTATCGATGATGGCAAAATACAGACCCTTACAAATGTCTAGTTAGCGGGTATTTAATCAAGTTGTTATTTTTAAAACTCTTTTAATGAGATTATTCTTGGTGGCAGTAAGTTAATTTTTCTAACACACCAAATCCCAGTAATTAGTATCGTCATTCAAGTGAATCTTACTAGATTTAAATTATTGTTGCTTAGTTTAGAGTTAGCAAATTATCTTTCAGATTGTGTATTTCAAGTAATTACATTTTCTATCTTTTATGCAGACGGATTGATGATGTTGACTTGCACTTAAAAGCTCCGGGTTACATCTCCAAGAATGCTACAAATCGCCATTCTCAACATACAACAGAAGATTCACTCTTAGGCCCAGTTGCACGACTTCAATTATCATCATTGGAAAATAGTGAAGTTGAGGAGAATACCTGTGACTCTGATTCGGATAGCGTCGACTCTACTACTGATTCCCAAGAAAATGATCAATCGCAAATTGAAAATGATGGTGAGTCTGATTCAGAGGAAATAAACCACAATGAGAATGATAAAAAGGATATTACAAGTGTGCAGGGGACAGAAATTAAAACGGTACGTTTTTTCTATAACCCGTATCAAATATTAGACGAAACATTCGTTCAATCTTTATAATTGTTGTTCAGAAATATTGTTGATCAGTTAGATATAGTAAAAAAAGTCGAGAAAGAAGTGAAGTTGGGTGGTAGAGTGATATATTCTTTGGTAATAGAAATTCTAATTGAGCGTCATCAATACGTATCCTAACCTTTTTCTTCAAAAAACAATATATGGTTTTCTGAAAAGCCAATAATTAATAAATTGCTCAATTCCTTCTAAGTTTGTTGAGATTCGCGAGTAAAGGTATCCGTAATCAGCTTTCAAATCATTTAGGTAAGAATGATAGACAAACTACTCTGCAGAATAGTTTCAAGTGTTCCTTGGTTGCCTTGCCGTTTTGAGAGGAAGTTGTAGATCAACTCATTCACTAGGTACTTAAGTGTTAGTGGTTATGGTATTGTTAGATCGGCTTACAATAAACTCTATCAGAGCCTCCAGAGAGGCTCATAAAGAGACCAACCAATCAGCGATTAGTTAGAAGCTATGCTACTAAAATAACAAGGTCCTGATTGGCTGTTAACATACTGTTACTATGGGATCTCAAGGTCTTTTAGCTACTATAAAACCCCTGTTTTTCTGTACATAATTGAACCTTGTAGTAAAGTGCTTCTCTGATACTCGTGTCTTCTCTCTGGTCTTCCAATTCGCTGAGTAGTGCTAGCCTGGGGTTATCCGAATAGCTAGGATCCGAATAAAACGTTCAACTTACGAGTCATAACAGGTATTACCTGCACGCCCAAACCGAAGTAGGTGAAACGGCGTTCGAACCTGGAACTTAATGGTAGAAAATTGAATGTCTTGACCATTAAGCCACCGCTCTGCATCATAGTAAAGTGTAAAGTACAATAAAACGAGTATCTGATGTATAATGATTTTTCATATCTTTTTTTCCTTCCTCTTATGAAATATGTAATGTAGAATGTAATGAAATCACCTTATTGTTTGAGTAATTTATTTCGTGAATTTACTTTAGAAACCTACTTTGATTACCGTTGAGGAAATTCGCGAGCGTAATCGTCGTGAAAGAAGACATCAAAAACAAGTTGACTTCAATCGTCAAATCAAACGTCATAATCGCGCTGCTATAAAACGTCAGGGTCGTCTTAATATGAAGACTGAAGCATTACTTTTTGGATAACTCAAGTTGTTTTTTTGTATTTTGTTAATTATTCGACCAACAATATTTCAACAGATGTACCTATATTTTCTGCTATTAACATAAACTACTGTGAATATTTCAATCTCTTTCAGAATCTTTATATATATATTGTACACAATATTAAGAAGGAAATTGTATAGTTACGGTATTTTAAAAATTTGGTTTTCTCGTAATTTCAGAACTTGTATTGTTTTTGATCTTGTTATTAACTTTATAATTTATAAATTGTAAATAAATGATTTTCTGGTTAATAAATTACTGACTTCGCTTTTGTTCGACAGCACTCAAACAAACTTGCATGTAAAAATAGGAATTAAGCTAAGTCAACAAACATTCCCTTCAAATAAGAGCCTTAACATAGCTCGACACTGTTTATTACATGGGCTTTACAACAGTTGCTCTCTTTATTTCCCTTGTATTTTTTCACAAATAATTGTGGATTGTTTATGTGTAATGTAAACCAGACAAGTCAGTAAGGATGATCAAATTTGACAAATGGAATCAAAGGAGTTATTCTTGCATCTTAAGTTCACTCAACTAAGTGTCACTTTCTGTAGTTTGTCTTATAAATTGCCTTATGTTAACCGATTCGGGCAGTTTTTGCTGACTAAGAATATTGTATTTGACCGATAATTTTTGAGATGCAATGGTGTTTGTCTTAACATTTCGTCAACAATTAGTTACAACCTGTATTTTGATGTTGAGAGGTTTTTGTCAATCATATTAAGGATGAAGTCACCAAAAGAGCAATCCAGCATTCTTTCGTAATGGTTTACATTTAACAAACAAGAATCCAGTTAAAACTAGTTTATGTATAACTATTGAGTGGAACGTTTCATGTCAACACTCTGTGGATCTTAACAATTTACATACCATTATAACTTGTATTGTTTACCGAAAGTCCTGAACGAACACAACAGTCACATCTACGGAGATCGCTGAGGAGTAACTATTGCTCGGATTTCATGCGCTTACCATTGTTACTAAACAGCAACGTTATGAAAACTCACAGAATGTATTGCAAACCACTGGTGTCCTGTCACTATATACATTAACATTTCATTACTTTTTCTGACTACAGACTTAGTTTTGCTAATTTCTGTGATCATTAGCTAAAATGAGTATAATAATTTCAAGGAACTTAGAGTAGTTCATGGTTGTCGGGACGGAAAAATTTTATCAAATGAAATCAACCGTACTTTTAAAAAAAATTGAGGAAAGTTGAGTCGCTTATGTATTTAAACAAACAAACTTCACATCACTGGCCGGATGGTTTTCGTTGTAATTTTAAGTAATAATTCACCAGTCTTTATCATTGTGCACAATTAGACTGCTGCGATTGTATCACGAATAGCCACTATCGAAATATAAAAAAATTTGGTTGTGCATCCTTCAATTCCGTTATATCTTTTGGTTGCATTGAAAATTAGTCAAGTCATTGAATTTATAAAGGATTTTAAATGGAAATTCATGTGGTGAGGCGTGACCCGAGCTGACCATGTGTACGAGATTTCATCTATTGATTGATTTGTATTCCCCTTTACATAACCATGTATAATGATGCTCAGATATTCGTTGACCAAGTGAGCGCTAATCAGATTTAGTAAATGAAATATCAGCTACGTGATACAGAAAACAGATTTTGAACACATTTGCTGAAGGAAGTTCAAAAGATATTTATTTCACACCTATGATAATATACTATTTTTTTAAAACACTAAAATCCCCCTAACTGGAAAAATAAATTCCAGTTTTATGAAATAAAAGTACTGAGTACAATGTTAAAATTTATCATTCCGTTGAACTGGATACATTTATTATAGTTGAAAACGTGAGTCAATTGAAGCTAGACCACCAGAGAAAACCTGGAATCACTAGACGGCCGTTTCGTCCTATTGTGGGACTACTCAGCAGTGTGCATCCACGACCTCGCCTAAATACTAAATCTCCACAAAAAAACCCTCCAGAAATATTTATTATTTATGTCTTATTTTATACATAACTAAATACACATAAACTATGCATTTAACTTAACACTACAATACTATACAGCAATATAGAAATTTTTTCAACTACATAATATCAATAGAAGAAATGTACTGCAGAGCAGTTCATAAGTGAAAATAAATCACTCAGAAATTCAGTATCATAAGGTATTTTTGCATTCATTTTTAAAATAGTTAAATTGATTAAAAAAGCCTACAAATGCAACAGGGAAATACACTATAGAGTGATTTTATAGTTGAATAAAACAAATGAAAGATATTTAGATACTTTATACAGGTTATATAATGCTAATGACTTAAACACTTGCAAATGGAAGATAATGTTTTTTTTGTAAATAGTCAAACATTTCAGAAAACGTAAGGAAGTAAAGACAGTATTTGGTTGAAGTCGAAATGACAAATTCATTTGTGTAATAAGGAGACGAAGATTATCAGAACACATAGTGTGGTGTGGTCTACTTATATCTATATAAGTAGTATATGGTGTGGGTCAGACATGGAATGTATTTTCGCAGAAGAACGATGAGGAAAGAACTGAAATGAAGCGCAATCGTTTGGAAAATGCATGAGCAATGGAATAAGAGAAGAAACAGTGAAGATTGAAACAATTGGTTGTTAATTTGCAAATTGACTGTTCATTGTTTGGTAATCAGAATTTACTGAGATAGTCTGTAATGTTTGCTTAAATACATTCGATTGTCCCCAACCAGTGTTTTGTTCATTACGATAGTTCTTACTGCACTATCAAAATGTATCAAAAAGATTAATTGCTTGTGAATTCACTGGTGTTGGATATTTTGTATGGTCAGAACATCATATGAACTTCGTCTATATATATTTCCAATCACCTTTTTCATTTTTTTTCTGTGATAAACATTCTAGCTTCTTAAGGCTTATCAATTGGAACTGGTATAATTTATTGTGGTTTTTTGAAGGGATTTTTGATGTATTTACATTCTATTCATTATAGATGAACTTGGGAAATAAATGTAAACTTTAGGCATTATCGATATGTAGTAATTATACTGTTATTGAAAGATTGTATTTAGCCACAGTATTATACAGTTTAGAACTTCACTAAAGTTACTGCACAAAGTCAACTGACTAATTACCAGATGACTATTCAAACATAAGTCATCCGTCAAGATTTTAATTGGTAAGTTGTGGTGACGGACTTAGTTCAGTATATGATTTCCTAAGAGTTTATTTAGAGTTTGGATAACTAAAACAGATTACTGTTAAACATAAAAGAAATGGTAAGATGGTGGTTGGAGGTGGTCAACAGGAAACCCTGGACCCGGGTTTCGTGCTAATTAGCACTCGTCAGCAAGGTGTACCTGTAATCTTGAGGGAACTGATGCTCCCTGACGGATTCGATCCCGTGTCACTCAGCTTCACAGTCAGAGACGTTACCACTGAGCTATTCGGGCCGCGACCAAACTCCTGTAGGACTGAGATGTAATCACAATTGATTGATCACTGGGTGGTGATCAATGTCATGCGTGTCAAAAGAAATGGTCTCACTGGGGATGATTAGTTATTTAGGGTTTGCGACATTATATATATGTATATATATACTATGGATTATGCTCAAACAACACTAAATATAAGTCCAGACCTTTTAAACTGCTAAAAAAGTTTTTAGAAAGTGATAAGATAATCTAAAGTAGCACTATTTGCTAGCTATCAAATGATAGTCAGCATCTATCACATAATAAGATTTATGCATTTATGATCATCTAATAATCAAACAACTGAATTTCAGGAATTTCGCAACTTAATTTGAATCTTTTCGTAGTAAAATAAACAACTTTTTCAGATAACAACAAGTTTGAATGATAGAAACAATTTACTTAATCCTTCATTTGTTGGAAATTATCAAGTCGGATCGTGGTAATGACAGTCGTTTTTTTCCTTATTTTTACATTGCTGTATTTAGGTTTTTAAATAGTACTCTTTTTTAGAAATTGTATATAGATACATATCAAACGGACTTTAAGTTCAGATGGTCAAATGATAGGTAGCAGTAAGTCTGGAAAAAACTACTGTTCTTCACTTAGGCGACGACGGTCTCCCAATTGAATGATTATAAGTAGTCTATTCAACTAAATGATTAACCTCATAGCATAAAATAATTACTATTGTGCGAAGCCATGAGTAACTTTCAGTCAATCACTTACAGACAATATAGGATATAGTATGGGTGCGTATCGGTCTATGTTGCCATATTCCATATTAGCATGGAAAGAGAGAAATTAACAAGATCAGAAACGCTGGAGAACGAAGTGAAAATTGAATGCGGTCGAAGAACTTAAAGGATTAAATGAAGTTTGAGTAAGGCAGAAGGTGATCGCGATTATAATGACACAAATGAATAAATGCTATAATGTATCTGAATCTTTGCATAAATGTTATAACGTATGAATTTGCACCTCTTAATATATATATATATACGTCCAATGATACAGGAAATACGTACGAGCAGTCTTGGGTGCTATTCGGTCCCTCCTATCTGCCTAGCCCAACCCGTTAAGAACAGAACACAAATAACAGCCTCGGCAATATGAAGCAGCAAAATAATATAAATCTGGCAGAACAATTACAGAATTTTGATCATTAGATTCATTAGAAAAAAGAATGGCTCTAACTTCCGATCAATTTCAGTTGCTAATCCATTGGGGATTCCCCACGTGAGTTCGAATCCCATCCCCGTCGCCAGTTGTTGTATCTCGAACTTAGAATTCTTAGTCTATCGCACAATACTTGAGCAGTTGAACGCAGGAACCCTCCAAGTCACAAATCAAAAGACAGAAGACAAGTAGAAGGAATGTTATTCCTGACAGGGTCGAATATGGTACAAAATTATCAGGTATTTATAGTTTTTAGTAGAAACAAAATCATCATTATAGTTATCCACTCCGCAGACAGGGAGTTATCAGCATTGTCCAATAGGGGAGCTCCACCTGGCAATTCTGGAATATTTTTCCAAAAGCTGATTGGATGGAACATGTTGGGCTCCTTCTGGGCTTCCTAGAGCCTCCTCGACTTCACCTGTGGACCATCCTCACAATATGAGAATCAAACTCATTATTATTATTGTTAATTATTTAATAGTTCAGACAACGAAAATTATTCTAATTCACGTTGAGCTCTAACCTAAAAATGTTCCACAAAGCGATTAATTAATGAGTTTCATTCTTAACATAATGATCAAAATACTTTCATGTTATGGTTAGTGTTAGATATTATAATTTAGTTAATGTCTTATTCCAAGTTAACAGATTTAATGGTATTTGGTTTGGAATTTTATCAAGCTCTCGAGAACATGATAAATAGTTCAAGGCAACACACTTGTTATTATTGTTGTTGTTGTTTTCTTTCTGAAATTTAGGGTGAAAACTTCGTTTGAACAAGCCAATAAAATAAATAATAAAAACATAGCAATTGACAAAGACAAACGCATGAACAAAAATAATTAGGTATTTCCTAATCACTTATGGGCGTAAATTAATTGCAACGTTTTTTTCTCTTAATCAGATTGGTTGAAAGTAATTTTGGTTGCCCTTGACATCAAATACAACAATATTGGCACGTTTCTCAACTTGTTTTAATCTAATGATAGTATGAGAGACATTAACGTAGTTGAGATTGAGAAAAGATGATCGTTACATATGAATGATTTTTTATGTGCATACAAAATAAACACTTAGAATGTCAAAGAAAGAAATGTTAAATCTGCATCAAAACCAATACTTATTATGGTTTAAGAACAATTATCTTCATAAAATAAAAGACAGATATATAACTTCAGTTTCATATCTATAACAGGGTTGAAAGTTTTCTACACTCCTATATTTGAATAATGAACTGGTTCTCAACTGAAGAATATCATTCAACAAATCAAAACAATGATCATCCCTACATTTTGTGTAATCAATCCAATACACAAGGGAATATTAGTGAAGATGAAACATTAAACATAGAAACAAATGTTAATAACACTAATAACAGAGCTTCATTCACCCAATGTTCATGTTTATCGTCATTAGTAGGAAATCACTATCAAAGTACAAATCTTTTGGAAAAAACATCAAGACAACAATTATCAGAAAAATTCATAAGAGTCCCAGTAATCCCTAGTTTACCAAAGGAAAAAGTTGACTATATAAATAATAATGTACAGAATTGTATTAATTGTAAAGATGATTCAATAAACTATCTGGAAAATGTACAGTTCTCCCATGAATACGGAGATGAAATTGATCATTTATATAAGAAACTACGAAAAAATGTATGTTCACCAGCTGTTTAACTGTCAATTGTATATATTTTAATTGATTTCGATAGATAATTTGAACTTCAGGTACCATAAAATTAATTTACTTAAATGACATTAAGTAAAACTGTATCAAAGTAAATTAGGAATACTTTTGGTCTTTTCGTTATCGCTATTACAGGAAGTTAGCACAACATATACACAAACAGGAAAGTTCATATGTACATTGAAGTATCTAGGATAGGATTCTATTTTATAGATCATTACATACATCTATTACTGTAGACTAGTTAAATAATACCAATGTATTGTGCCTAAATGGCTAACGATCAACTATTGATTCGACAAACAAATAATGTACAACCAATAAAATATTTATTACTGTTGCTTACCTTAAACTTGAATATCATTACCGACGTGTTTTAAAGATTGATAACTAACTAAAATTCAGTTAAAATATATGAAAATAATGCATAAACTAAATGGTAGTCAATTTGAATCCGAACCATTGTTTATATCTAATAAATCATATTCGAAATAAGTGCAAAACTTCATATCTATTTTACCGTGGACACACAGACTATAGAGATTAATAGCAACTTAGAGTTCTTCAAATCTTTTTTTTTCACAAGTTAAATGATTTAGTTAAATCCTCATAAAAACTAAAGCTTCACTTCTTACTTATTAGTAGATACAAAATCATGAACCAACTCCGAATATTCATTGTTCACTGTATATAATAATCGTCACGTTGACTGGAACTAATGACGTTACTTTTAAAAAAGTCAGTCAGTCAACTACAACGTAGGACCAGGCACAAATATGCATTGGTCCAAGTTGCCATACCTCATTATCACAACCGTAGTTGCAACAGACGATCACCATTATCTGTTCACTGAGTTGGGATACTAAAATACCCACCTAAATGTCTTTCTATTTGGTTTAAGCTACATACTTGGACATTAAAGTCACTTGCTACGAGTACTATGTCTGAGCGTTTAGCTTTTTGAAGAAGTTCAGAGACTTTTAAAAAAAGCTTAATAAACTTTTAAATAAGCTACATTCAAAATTACTTTTTGATAATAGTTTGTAATTGTATGAAAGTCATTTTATTTTCTCGAAGGGTTTTGTTTTTTCGTGAAATAGTTTGTTCTTACAAACAGTTAATCATGGGTCTTTTGTTTGTATTTATACTTTATGTAAACTTAGAGAAAGTAATCGATATTTCCTGATGGTAAGAGTTAGCTTATATTTATTATCCTGTTTGATGTTCGTCAAGGAGATGGAAACAAATGTCATTCGATTTCGGTTTTGTTATTTAAACTCTTGAACATCTCTCACTATTTTAAACCCCGTTTGGATTCAATAGATTACTGAATGGTTTTGGAACAGAACATAATACTGTTAATCACCTTATTATATTCAAGTAACTAAGTGTATTTAACAGAGGAATTTTCTTTGGTTATCTCATTGCATCGGTCTATATAACAATCTGGTTATCTACAATGATACTTGGTATGGCGTTTACGGGATAGTAGAGATTTGTAGGTCAGGTGGATGATTTTGATAGAGTTTTTTCTCTGAGCTGGATCGTTTGTTCGTGGAGCTTTCATCGTTGTTAAAGATTCTGAGATAATCAAACGATGTAGTGCATGTTCAGAATCGTCACATTTATGAGTCTTACTTATTAAGTTGTTAAATCCCCGTTAATTAGAAAGTAAACGTGTTATTAATCAAAATAAGACAAATGAGACAGTTAATTTTTCAGATTCAAAATTAATCAAGAAAATCATGGAATTTCTCTGTTTATCATTAGTGATGATAATTTTCTGAATAATACTTCCCATGGAACCAAACAGCTTAATTTTCTGATAACTACTGAGGTTTAGAATAAATCAATTTAAGGATCAGATGAGCAAAATAATTGAGATAGTTTAGTTTTATTAATTTAAAAGATGTATGTTTACGTAGCCAGGTATATTTGTTTAGTATCTATGTCATTGTGTCGTATGTGTCGAACAATTAAATCATTATAGTAGAAAGAAAATTAAGAAAAACAGGAAACGAATCAATCAAAACATGGATAGATCTTATTTAGTACTGTTGGAATTTGATTTATCAATTTGCAGTGTAAATGCTAGGATGAGAGACTTAATATCAAGTTCGATGAACATAATATTGTACTGGACTTAGATGTTGTCCCAGTCGGTACTTGTCTTTATTTACCTCGCTGCATCTGTTGTTTATTTACATTATTTTTTAAAATGCTTAGAAGATAGAAAATTAATATATCATAGGCTCTATTTATTTTTGAAATTTTCTATGTTTATATTGATGTTATGGGAAAATGAATTTGGATTAATCAGTTAATCCTGAAGATTTGTAGACAAAACCCTGGAATTCATTGTCAGTATTTATTCTGTGAAAAAATATTGATACATATTACCAACAGACTAAATATATGTCTTAAAATTTATACAGAATAGAAATGTAGTAATAATAGAAAAAGTTAGCTAGGATAGTAATTTTTAGTTTCTGTATTTGCGAATGATGGATTCGAACTATAATAACTTGATAACGTACTCATTTGAAATTAGTCCGATACAATTAACATTTGATTATGCACTTCTAATTAGAGTTCTGATTAATGGTATTTGATCATGTTTGCCAAGATTTGTGAGACTTATTTTATTTGAAGTGAAGTTTTTTTTTAAAAGAGAATCGGTTATGACAAGAAATACTAGTATTAAATAACTAAAATAAAGATAATAACGTTATCTGCCAAGTAAAACTTTCAAAAAGATATTACTATATGTGTAATGAACGAAGACTTATTGGGGATAAGCAATTTATTATATAAAACAAAATCACATAATGGCTTAGTAAAATCATCATACATTAAATACATCATTTGCACATCTTTGATTTATCTCTGACAAACTGCATAATTCCTTCAATTCTGTTGTTATTTTGATTACTTTCAGCTTTCTTCTCTCTACTCTTTATTTTCAATCTTCTCAATATTCTGCTCGCAGGTATTCCACTCCTGATTGGTGCTACATGCTATATGTCCATATAAGTACCATACACCACATATGTAACAGTTCTCAGCAAGTTTTACGTTGGTTATGTAATTGATTATTGTAGAGTCTCAAAGTTGTCATAAATAAAAGTAGACAACAAAGCTAGTTATAGGAAATAAAAAGCAAATGGTTTCTCATATAATATAAAAGTTAACACTGATAGGTCATTTATTCGTTGAGTAGAGTCTACTATACAAGAATTTTCAACTCAAATCTATTCTGTATGTAGCGAAACGATTTCCCGATGTCTTTGGTAAGTAGCTGTTCATTACGTACTTCATTATTTCTTGAAGTAACAAGTTCTTATTAGAACTTTAGGAAAATTCATCAATAGGCTAACCACTAAGAAGAATACGTTTGTTATTTGGTTAAAGGGTTTGTATTGGTCTGTTTATTTTGAAGTGGTCTTTAAATACGTTAACGTCAACTGTCATACCACTATTTAGTTTCTACTGGTTCTTCAGTCGATATAATTTTCTAATGAGACATATGTCATATTATTGCATTTACTCAGTACTTTAATGTTTATTATTATATTTTTTTACAGAATGTTAATTTTCAAAGAAGGTATGCATTATAACTGTGGCACTTATGATTTCGAATGATAGGTCTTTTGAAATGAGAAATTTACATCATGAAATCCACTAATTATTCTACTACAGTTAACTGTGGGTTTAATACACCTCTCAACTAGCAGCTGAGATAGCTGTTCATATATATGATAGTTAGTTATAAAGGCCTCTTAAGAGATAAATCAATAAAATAGACGAAAATCATCAGTTGTATAATATCATCAAACTTTTGAAACGTTTTATTATATATATGTCCTTGAATGGTTTTATTACCTTTGATCTGCAACAAATTTCAAATTTATGAAGGTCGTTATTCCGAACGCCCTAGTTAATTAAAAAATATTTTAGGAAACACCTATTTATTTGACAAAAAAGTTATGAAATTCATTGCAACTTACTAATTACTTTCATTATATCCTTATCAAGAACAATCAGATAAAATATTCATCGGATATGATACTACTCAGAACTGATGCAGTAGACTGGCTGTAAAGTGTGACATCTATAGATTGCATGAATTGTAACATTTCGATACTACGAACATGAAATAGCCTATTTCGTGGAATAAGAGTTTAATATGTCATAAAATGAATTCCATCTACATATTTCTACACATAAGAAGTATTAGTAAGAAAGATCGGTATATATGCATAAGAGATGGGTAGATAGGAAAAGTTTATGGAGATTGATTGATTGGAAGATAGTCTGGATCAGCAAGCTTTAGAAATCCCTTACTCTTAGAAACCTATCAATGTAGATGTTGACAATAGTAACGCTGATCAATAGAAACTTATGGGATGCCTAAAATTTCATCTGCCTAGATGCTGAATAAAGAAAAATCCAAGTGTAACATTTATTTAGTCTTAAATGAACACCTGTTTCTCTCTCGGAAACGCTGATATCATCAGTAAAAAAAATTAAGATTTAAATTCTATTCTAGAGCCAGAATACAAGATTTGATCTTTAGAGTCATATCAATGTTAATGCTTAAATTTAATGTCCATAGCAAAGAATTTCATCATTGTGCAACACATTTTGTTTCAAACAGACACCACAAATTCCAAAGTAGCTTAGCCTACTATAAGATGTTTGTTAACATTACAGAACACTATGGGTACTAATTTAATATCTATGACTTGTCAGTATTATCACAGATGATCACATTAATATTGATAATTAGTAAATCTTGAGAAGGAATTTATTAAATGTTTTTGAGCATAAATTTCTCTATGTAAAACAAACACTGAATGTTTATGACAACAAGTTTGCAAAGAATATTAACTACATACTAAAAATATCTTCATCCTTAAATTTGAAAGTTATAGAGTTGATTTCGGGAAACAGAACAAAAGAAGAGTATTGTAAAATTCACTAGGAATTCTGAAACTTTTAGGAAAATAGACATTAAGTTAAATAGGAGGAATATATTTGTAGAATCTCAGCGAATGAATTTGAAGTAAATCCAATGTTTCGCCTGGCAATCTGGTTCAAGCTTACACTCGATAAAATCAGGTTATACAATTGATTTTAATTGTACAATAATCCTTCAAAAGGCTTTAATTCTTACAAAGAGAGACAAACAGCCGAAGCCCTATACATTTGGGTTAATCCAAGCAGTATAAATAAGAAAGATGGAATACAATTAGCTTTGCCGTGGCAACTAATCATTAATAAGTAAAAACCTGAACTACTTTTCCATTTTATCTATCTCGTATTATCTGAGTGACAGCATTTACATTCAATCATTCTAATCAGTTGTCTTATCTGAATTTGTTAAACAATTAACTGGAATATTAGAATAACACAATTATTCATTTTCAAATACATTCTTTCTCTTTGAGTTCATTCCTCTATTTTGTTTATTTATCTTCATCTCATGCATGCTGTGACATATGTGATTCACATCATTTATTAAAAATTGTATGTTTTCTAGAAAAAATTCACCGACAGGAGACATTATATTAGGAATGAAACTTCTCCTCTCACCACTTACGTATATATACAATATGTTATCTTAACACTCATCGTTTCACATCACAAGACTCTTACACACTAATATATATACCTACTTTAAACATTCTTTGACGTTGATTGAATGACTTATTCAGTATACAATGAACCGAAGAACCATGCACCTATTTATACTCTATAACTTTGATGTTTGATGATATTTCCTTGAAAAAGCTTGGATCAGATTGCCAGACGAAACGTCAGATTTACTTCAAATTCATTCTCTGAAATTTTACATATACATTATTCCTATTTAATGTCTTACATCAATTCGGCGCCCAAATACTGTGAAACTATTCGTTCTAATTTAGAAGAAAGTTCTTATACAGAAATTTCGTTGATTTTTTTAAATAGTTGAAACCATGAGTCAATTGGAGCTAGACCACCATGGAAATCCTGGAAGCACTCGACGACCGTTTCGTCCTATTGTGGGACCCTCAGCAGTGCGCATCCACGATCTCGCCTGTAGAAATTTGAACCCAGGACCTACCATTCTCGCGCCAGAGCACTTAACCACTAGACCACTGAGCCAGCATCCAATGGTGTTAATGTCTAATTTCAACCAATCCACGAAATTGAGCAATCATCCACTATTGTCTTCAGTGAGTTACTATTTCACAACAGACCTGGTTGAACTCCACTGGTCACTGCTCTTCACTAGAACTCCAGGAAGTACCTCATGGATCCAGTCAATAGTGAGCATATGATCATTATAAGAAGGGGATTGTGTGGAGATTTTAGTAATTTTATATAGTTGAGATCATGAGTCGATTTTAAAAAACAGAATATCAGGATACATTTTTTTCATCTCCTTGTTTATGAATTAATTCTTTTGTTTGTTTTTTGTTTTCCTTTCCAGTTAAAACAAAATAGTTTACTTGAATATTATTTTTTCTTAATTCTACAACATTTATTGAAATCATTAATATTATATAAAAATAATTCTATCAACCAAAAATATGAACTTTTACATACAACATATATATACAATACATATTCTATTATTGTAATATGGAAAACTCTTATTCAAAATTGTCATTTATTAATATGTTCAATTAAAACAAATCATCAAAATCATTTAAATTATTTTAAAACATTGAATACTGTACAAAAATATAAAAGTAAAAGTTTATTAAATTTATCAAATTTTATAAATTATAATATATATCCATGGAATATTACATGTATATATCAGTCATTCTCTCAATGTTTTAGATCTAGTTTACCAATATTGAAGACTGAACAAGATATAGCTATGAATGTAAATCCTATTAATAATAATAATATGGTTAAAAGTACATCATCTAGTGATTTTGAATCGATTTGTTCAGATAACGACCTTCTAGATAACCATATAGAAAGTGAACATTCAACAAATATTTTCAACCGAAATATCTGTCTGTCTAAAGAATTAGATACAGAATCCAAAGATACACAAATCAAATCTAAGATAACTTTAGAATTATCAAATTTAAATTCTTCAAACAAGAATACATTTGAAAATTTAGAGAAACTTAGTTCATCGACAAATAATGAATTAACACATTCATCTATATCTAATAGTGGTTGTTCTGCATTATATTCACAGTTACCAAAAATCTCTATACCGGACCCACCACCATTTACTCCCCTTCCTCCTCCACCTCCATTCCCAGAAAATTTTTTTTCTTCATCGAAAATATCATTTACATCAGTATCAGGTGATACTTCAATTGAAGATCAAGAAATAAAAAATCAAACAGCATCCAGTACTACAAATATAAGTGAATCTAATATTCATAAGTTAAAACCATTTCGTTGGACTAAAGTCTATACATCTAAATATAATAATGTATGGAATAACAGTAATAGCACATGCTCAAAAACGTCTGACCATAATGAAACAGTAAGAAGAAAACCAATCAGCTTTATTAATCTGAGTAAATTAAATATCCTATTTGCTCAAAAGCAGAAACTTTCTATGAAAAATCCTGAAATGAAAGCATCACCGAACACAGAGTCGTTTTGCCTACCAATGTCGACTGATAAACAAACAGTTGAAAGGGAAATTAATCATGGCTCCCTCCATCAGAAATTCCCAGTTGATAAAAATGTACAAGAAGGCAATTTAATAGTGCCTCCAACCTCGGATCCTAAACTACTTCGTGCTATAAATTCTTATGCCATACGTGGGAGATCACTTTCATCTTCGCGTACTATGGAATTTATTCAAAAACATGAGGTAGCCGTCATTATGTTCATATATATATATCATTTTGATCCCACTTAAAACCTCTTTATAAATCTATACAAATATCAAGTAGTTAGGTCTGATTCAATGAGCCACGCCGAGGTAACATTTAAGGTGATTATAGTTCACACCCAGGAGACTGAATAACCCATGGGCAGCTTTTAAAAGGTCCTACTCTCACAGATATGTTATTTTTATATTGAACTGCTGAAAAACGTTGTCAGCAGACTCACTTAGTCACTCTTCATTTGAAAAATTACTAGTTATTATAGACTTTTGAGAAATATTCACAGTAAATGACATATATGCAAATCTCATACGGCTTTAATGTCCAATAGATGATAAACTCTTAACCGGTGTTTAGGTGAATCTGTAACATGCAATTATTCTGCACCGACTCAGACGACACGAGTCTTCATATTGTTTGGGGATTATATGCAGTAAAAATAGAAACTACTTTTTCTAAGTAGGCAGTTTGATATTCCAAATAATAATGATAAGGATAGAGTAAGTTAACTTGTGACGCATTACAAAGTTGTTAATTTCTTCAGTAGTGAGTAGATGAAATAATTAAATTCATAGTACTGAATCTATTATTAGAACTTTATTACACTCATAAAGTAAGTCGACTTCGCAATCAATATAATTAAGGTTCAGATTACATAATGATAAAAAGTGCTAGCTAGAAATATGCTGTTTGCTTCTGGTTGTACAATATTCCGTAAGCCAGATGGTTTACTTCTGAAACTGTTTTTCAAGACATCGGCACAACCTGCTTCAGGTGCAAGATAATGGAACACCAAAAAAATAGTTCACGTGATTTACAAATATTTACATTATAACATTTGTGACGATGGTAGTCAGAATAGAGTTCGACACACATTCACCAGATACTTTCAATAGCTCACATGCTGTGTTATACCTTTTGCATCATAAAAAAAAATTAAAAGTAGAATGAATTACTGCCGGACCTAATAAATATGGAGAACGATTACAATATATTTCATAGTAACAGAGTTGCAAATAAAAGATAAGGTCCGATATAATTCGTTATTTCATCTTATAAAATCAGATCCATCATATCCTCTAGAACTGAATGACCAACAGTAAAAACTTGAACAGAATACCTGAGAATCTCACATTTGTCAAAGTATATTTACTGCAATTTTTAGCCAGTAACAAAAGTTTTCTTTCCATGCGTCACATATTTCTTTAATTTTATATTCCAATTTAAGCCCAACTTATTGGAAAGTCAACGGTGTTTGAATATAAACATTTTCCTACGTCAGTTCCGACATATTCATATAAACTTACTTGATCTGATTGATCGGTGTGATGGTAGTTCAATTGGTTCAGAACGGTTAAAAGATTTGATTAAATTACTTCCAACAGATCAAGAAATAAAGTGCTTAAAAGCATTTCAAGGTAATGTAAATTATATGGATCCAGCTGAACGATTCTTTTATGATTTAGTTAGAATACCGAAGTAAGTTGTGTTTCAATGAAAATGCTTTTGTTAGATTATTGATAACATAATATAACCTGTATTTCCATGTGTTGTTATCCTCATTTTACTTAAACGTTATCAACATTACACCAAAACTACTTACGTTTATCTTACTGAAAATCAGCTGCCATTTTTTGGTTTTAAGTAAATAAATTAATACGAAACCTGGTTCACTAAGTTGACCATTCTTATGTTATACTTATGACAGATAAATAATTTTTCTAACTGAAGTTTCTTGACTTAAGGACTCAGTTTTATCCATACTACGATTTTGTTGAGATCGTTCACCATTTAAATAACAATTTAAAAACTGGATAACACTGAACAATAGTTTTGTAGTAATATATAACTACGTAGAAGCCCATTACCAATAACCCAATGATATCGAACTTGGAATCCATAGTTTTCTCCTCAAACACACTGTTTTTAGTGTATTATATTGGAGTCTCATGGTCCATATAAACTGATTCAAAATATTTGTTTCTAATGTGTATATATTTGACAGTGCTGTATTTTCTAAGCTGGGTAGTTTAAGATCTAAGTCTTTATTATTGTTCTGAACAACATTCTAGCGCCCACTTTAAATAGACGTACTTGAAGTCGTCACTCAATAAATCTAATGATATCTGTCTTGCTAATTATCATTTCTTGCTCAAATTTCAGATATTCACGTAGGATCAAATATCTACTAAGTAAACGATTTTTAGCTTTAATCCATTTAGACGTAGGCTCGAACATCACTTACCATACAATGTTTTGCAGATGTCATTTGTATCGCTAGTACATAAATTACGAATAATAAACTGACGGAACGCCAGTTGATTGGTCAATACTCTCCAGGTTTTAAAATTGTGAACGGTATGAAAGAAAAAATATTGACAGAAGGGACGTATATAAAGGAAAAATGAAAAGAACTAGTTAAGAATATAAAATAAGCTGAAATTTAGAATTCACTTCAGCCAAACAACTACTGATAACTTGATAGGTTCTGGTAGTTGAACGTGAATATTTCTAAAATACTGGTTCTTGAAGGTTGTAATCAAATGAAAGCTTTATCATTTCACAGACCAACCCCTACCAATCTCATGACAGACAGTAAAGTTTGAATAAATAATTTATAAGTCCCCCAAGAAAATGAAATACACCTAGACTTATTATAAAGAAATATACTTCCAGTGTTCATTAGACGTCAGTGAGAAATTAACATATTTAAACATAAACTAATATGGGAACAGTAGCAATACAAGCTGTTAGAATGAAAGATAATACTATTTGGATAATACCTCATGAAGAAGCTAGATTTCAATATGAAAAATTGATTATAATAAACTATTTTACGGCATATGAACGTATCAAAAGTTTCATGAACAACGCTTCATGAGTTAATAAATTGTCTTTTGTAGAGCCAGTAGAAATGAATCGTAGGTTATCTCAAGGAAAATACCTGGCCTGTTGTATGCTCTGATGGTGTTCTCATGACTTTCGGGTCAACGAGCATGCCAAGGGCGATTGGACAGTGCATGATGCTATTTTTGTGTGCTAGGTTCATATATAGTTGTATTCTATATGCATACAATCTGCTTCACTGTTGAGCAGAAAAATCCGACTGGAAGACTTCATGTATCGCTGCTGTGTAATGAGGTTAACCTTGTTAGCTAATTGGGGGGGGGGTCGATGGAGATCGCAATAGTTCATCACCTCTATGCTGAACTTGAACCATTCAGAGTCAATTCCTCAAGGCCTTAACAATCATGACAGTCTGTCCTATGTGCATGCTTATTTATATGAATGACATGAGTCTGAGGTTGTGGATTTGTGTATGTTGATATATGCCAAGGCTATGCATCAAGTTCACAATAGGAACTCTGGCTGTAACTTCTACCTTATGTCTGATAAATTCAGCTGCCTAAACCATCAGGTCGAAGATGATAAAAGATATGGTAGTAAATACTAGAGAGAGGTGACCATTAACCCTCCCTGAGAGTGCATATGTTTATGTGTATGTCATGAAGTGCATGGGTGAAAGCATTTGTACCAGTGATATGCATGTAATGTGTAAGAGACAGTCAGTTGTAGCTAGTACGTTCGAAAGGAGAGGTGGCCATCTACCATCCCAGGAGGGTGTATATACCTATGTGTATGCTATGGAATGTATAAGTGAAAGGTTGTGTGTCACCGGTATGCATGTAGACAATACTTGTCCCTGGTGAGACAGCCGCATGCCAAGATCCGGGACTTATTACGATTTCTTCACGAAATCACATCAACTCGTCAGGTTTGTGAGCTTCAGAAAGCGGATTCTAATCCAAATAAACCAATCGGCTTTACCTAGTGAGGCTTGAATAACGTCAGATGGTTGGAACGCCGTACCTCAAGGAAATAAATATCTCTTACTGATAAGTGTCAGCAGTCAAAATACTCAGATTCAGGATTTCATTCAAATCAACATTAAAATTTGAACGCGAAAACCAATATTTTTAGAATTACCTTGTATATTACCAGCTAAGTATGTTTATTTCAGCTTCTTGTTAGTTTCGCCTTATTTCTGTTCATTTGTACGAATCTTTCTTTCCATAAAATAGATATTATCACAAAATTGATAGTATGTTATTGAAAGAAGAATTTCAACCAACGATCAACTGGATAAAATCATCACTAGATAATGTGATGAAAACCAGTCAAGGTAATTTTAAATTCATTCATGACAATCGTTTACCTGAACAGACATTTAAACTTGTAATAATCGATTTATATAAAAATAATTCTTATGTACAACTATATATCAGTTTATCTACATGATCATGGCCAATAAGAATAATAAACAATAAGGGAAAATGACCTATTCTTAACTAAATAATAAGTTATGTAGTCAATATCTACTGTTGAGGATTGTATTCTGTGGCCTTGTTTTACGTAATACTTGTGAAAAGTAGAAGTCTCTTACAGGGTGATGTAATGAAGCAAAGGTTTATGACATCATATCTGATACATAGAACTTTTTTTTGAACGAATTATAATGATACTTCTGAAGTGAACGAAAAGACCAATTTATTGTTTGCTACAAAATTTACAGAAAATGTTCGTAAAATATAAGAATCATACATTAAATACTTCATTTGCACATCTTACATCAATTATCCTTTAAATGCTGTATGATTCTTACGATTCACAGTTACTTTCTATTTCCCTCTCCGTTTTCCTCAATTCTATCTTCTTAGTCTTCTGCTGCCAAACATACCACTTCTGATTCATGTTACATACTACTTAAGTGAAAAGACATAAGTAGCATATACCACAATACTCCTATGTCCTATAATTTCATTGAATCACAAATGACGTTCACTAGTTTGGTAAGTTTTTAAATAAATACAAGGTACTTTAAGAATTTATAAAATCCAGGACAAATGAAAGGTTATAATCGCTCAAACCAGGTCACAATTATCATTGTAAATTAAAAGTAGTTATAAGTTTCTATGACAAAAATTAAGTTTACCAAACATTTGTAGCTACTTTAAAAGTATATGGGTGTATAACTTAATAATGTAGATTTACCTTAGCAGATTTTGGGCGTATTATCAAACTTAAAGGATAAGTTTATATTTTCATAAATTTTTGAGATCAGAAGAATCCCTACTCAAGACCAGGGAACATTGTGCAGTCGTACCATTATAATATGGGACTTTTAAATAATGTACATACAAAACATCAACCTACCAGTCCAAAGTTTAACTGCCCTTACAGAGACCTGGAGATCCTGATTTTGATTTTTGGCAAGGTTTTAAGTGCACACTGCTGAGAATTTCCCCAATAGGACAAAATAGCTGTTCACTATTCTCCGGTTTCCAATGGTACTTCAGCTAAGGCTAGCCCATAACCAATGCCACCTACAGATAAGGCACATCGTCACCAAAGTCTTTCGTAAAATACCTATTTCGATTATACGAGAAGCTTAGTATATAATAATATTGCTGTGTTGGGGATTAAAGCTACCAATACTAACTGCTTGCTTCCTCGTCTTAAGTAACGATTCTGCAACATTTCGATAATGTAATAAGAAGACGAAGATTACTTTTGTCTTCTTATTACATTATCAAAATTTATCAAAGGGTCTAATTGCTTTAAGATTTTATAACAGTTAATTAGTTGGAAATGAAATCAAGTATGAAACAAGATCAACAAACAATGGGCAGTTTGTGAACAATCTACAAACGGCAAATCCAATATTAAATTATATATTGATTTCCACTCATATTTTTCTTCAGAAATACTAAAATCTCCGTTAATTTGTGAATTACTTCAGACTGTCTTAGAAATTGGAAATTATATGAACGAGGTAAGGATATTTCATTGTTTCTTGGTGGTTTTCTTTTCATTTATTTGGTTCCATTGAAATTTTGTAACGATAATCGCAAATTTAAAAAGTCTGCTAACCAGTCTGGGTGCTGTACAAAAAATGCTTATAAGTTTTATCAAAGATAGAGCAGTGAAACATTCAAATAACTAGCTATCTACAGAATCACTCTATATAGTTATTAATAAACTAATAACTTATTTTTTATAAATACTTGAAATCATGAGTCAATTGAAGCTAAACCACCGTAGAAAACCTGGAAGCACTGGACGGCCGTTTCGTCCTATTGTGGGACTCCTCGGTATAATAGCTTATTTGTTGCCTGAATGTAACTGTGTATTTCTAGCAAAATAAAACTTACAAATTAAAAGAATGTTATTAACTTCATGACAAAAGTAATTAATTGCACCGGTAATTTTTTACTTATGCTTACTTACCATTCTTAATGTATTCAACTTTATTAATACCTATCACAGAAGCTCACTGTTAGCTTCCTCTAAGATCATACTCTTCAAAGTGCTAGAAACTTTCATTATATTTATAGTACAGGCCACCATAGTTAAGGCGAAGAATAAATTATTAATTACTGATTAAAATACTCAAAACTCCTTAGAACATTTATACATTTAAGTACATTAAGACGTTAGCTATAATGTTTTACTTGTTAATCCATTTTTGATTCTTTAATGAACACAAATGTAAGGTGTTCATAACTATTGGCATTGTTCTCTTTGTTGAAAAACCTGATAGTTTTAAACGTTTCTTCACATAAATGTCTTTATGATTTTAATTGATCAAATATTTGTTGACTTTCACTATTGAGAACAATTGACAACTGGATTTCAACAATTATGATTGGTTTTGTGAATCTTTTGTGTTATAATAATAGTGACCTATTTAAGTAACATTATCATGATTTGACTTGGGAATCACAGGAGTGTGTACATTAGTAATAATAGAAATAATCATATGTTCACATTGAAGTTCTACCATATCGTCAGGGAAAACATAATAGAAGAACTACAATAAGTTAAATCATACAGAATTAACTCTTTCTATAAAATAATAAACACTCTTCGAAATACTCCTGTTCGAATAAAAGATTAAAATACCCATCAACTTGACACAAAATTAGGATGTGTAGATTGTTATATTCACTATATTGGAGTGTCTTCTTTCGGAATCATAACTTGTACTAAAGAACATCTAAGCTATATAAAAATACCTCCAAATCATTCTATAGAACCTGAAAATCGATAAATTAGATCAGCAATATCAGTATATGCCATTTCTAACAATCATCAAATCGATATTAATCATATTAAAACAATTTAAAGTTATCCCTATAATAAAGAAAGGTGAATAGCTGAAAAGTTTCATTCATAAAACATTGATATATAAATATAGAATATTCTTTTCAATCAATTCACTTTAGGTTCTACAATTGTTCACCCAAATCAATAATCCAAAAAGTAACCAGTTTTAAGGCAAATGAAATACACTGTTTGAAAATTATAGCATATGAACTTAGGATTAAATCTACCTATATTGTTTGATTGAATCTTCTCACTGATGTTTAGGACTGCAGTTGATCATTCTCTTATTGACATATGTGCATACTGCGCGCACTGCCTCGATATAGCCTGAATTCACAAGCATTATAAACAAAGATGGATAGTGACTAGCAGTGGAATTCAGGACGCGAGTTTCGTCGTATTTGGGATTTGAACCCAGTACCGTTCGCTTCAAACATCAACTCTGAGATGCAGGTGCATCCAGCTGACGAGTCCCAAGTAGGATGAAATGCGCGTCCTGGATTTCACTGTTAGACACTATCCATCTTTGCTTATAATGAACTTAGGATTGTTTGTAATGTAAAATAAAATTATTAATTGTGAAATGATTTATATGTTATGTTAAATTGAGTAAGTTAACACCTTAAATGAGACTGTTAAATTGTCTCACATTAATAAGCCCTACCACACTTCACAGAAAGGAAGGCTTAACAATCCATACCACATGAAACATTTATTCAAATATCATCGTTTAAATCACACTTATTTCTGTTCACATTTCACACCATTAATATATAAAAAAATATTTGTACCCTACTCTTCTACATTTCAAATATCACATTTTCCATATCCATTAACACCCACGAATGTATACACAAAATCACCATAATGCTGTTAACTGACATTAAATATCCATGAAGTTAATATTAACATATCCTTAACCCCAACTAACTGGGAGTAAGAAATACTGTAAATGAACTTAAAGAATAGTTTTAATTTTCGACTACTATTATACTTAAGAAATTTTCATGTATATCATTTGAATTTTATTTCTAAAGGGTAACAATCTCGGATCAGCATCTGGCTTCAAACTTTCCAGTTTATTAAAACTTTCTGAAGTTCGATCAAATGATTCAAAGTTCACTCTATTACATTTCCTTGTTCAGGTAATCCATTTAAATGAATTCAAGTATTCTTATCTATTAGCAAAATATATCATTCTTTCAAATTTGATAATTTAACTATTGCTTACATAAATAATGAGTTAAAATCAACTATAGTCAACAACTAGTTAACAGCTTGGAAAAAAGATATTTTCAGCCTCACTGTTTATTATTTAATGAACTCTTCAGATTAGTAGAAGCTAAACTTATAAATTTATTCACCAGTATTTCAGTGAATGACTCACTATTGAATTCTAATATCCTTTTAGTGAATCGCTTAAGGTTTAGATATTACTAATTTATAGATTATATCTGGTTCCATAATACCTATTCATGCTTACATTTTGTCCCATTAGTGTATGATTAAAATCAAACCTTTTTAATACCGTATTTACAGTTCTTGATTGAGACTAGTAAGAGTTGGATTGTGATAAGTCTTGCTGATTGAACGCTAATATTCGGATCCTAAGCTAGTCTCGTAACCCTCAAGCTAAATCTACACAGCGACTTGAACACGAGAGAAAAGACGCAAAATAGGCGAGAAACACTTTACTCCAAAGTTTCATTCACGTACAGAAAATATAGGGTTTTTATAGTATTTTAGAAGTCCTTGGGTTTTCCTGACAATTCTAGAATACTACTAAACATAGCAGCAGTGTAGTAATCAACCAATCAGAACCTCCACATGTGACTTCATTATCGCGATATTTCTAGCAAAACTTCTAATCAAACGCTGATTGGATAAAATGCTTCTTAATGTTTCCTGAGCTTGTCATGTCTATTGCGAGAAATATTCTGGATCGATAGTACAGATTGGTATAAAGAATTTTTTTAGAATTAAATATAATTTTACTAAACTAACTCATAAGACATAGATGAAAGCTCTTTTGTTTGATCTTATGTTATTGATTTTCAGATTTCAAATATATTTATTGTTTTATACAATTCAGTAGCCCCTAAATGCCCTGGTATGGCCAAGAGTGGGGAGAGTCCTCTCTCCCTCTCGAAGTGCTCTCACATGGCCAGCGAATATATAGCCTCTGACAAGGAAGTCATACCCACTGCCTTCTCGTGGCATTACTGTTGTTCACGAAAGTGATAGTACGAAAAGCGAATCTCCGGTGCTTTAACCGGGTTGGTGAATACGGAAAGTCCATCTAGGGAAGTTGGAAAATCCTGATTCCAAACCAATGGTGCACATGGACTCCAGTATCTTGAGGGAACAAATGGCGTATGAATCAATCGTTGGTTACCGGCTACCATGGGACTACATCTCCTCACGATGCTCCACTGCCTTGTAGATCAGACCTTTAGGTCGAAGGCTCCGGGTGTGGCCCCCTAAGAAAACCATCTACTTCAGTCTGGGCACCTGAGCAGTATCACAGCCCTCACACAAATCGAATGAGATTTGTGTGGCGCAGATATATCTGGTACCCGTTTGTACCAATATTTACGTGTATAAATGAAATAAAAAAACTGACAGTTGATTTTAATAAACGATTATTCAACTGTCTGTTAGTCATAAAGACCACGTAATAAATATATTTTTAGATCACTTATCTCTAGCATATCTTCATTCTTCTGTTAACTGCAAAATTCCCTAATTAATCCGGTTGAAAATTTGAAAAATCCGAACAGTTTCAGAGATACAGAATTCATATGAAATGGCGTCAACAACTTGAATAAGAATAGAAAATATCTTATTCGCCTGTTTAAATATAAAACTATGGTGAATTAAATAAGATGAGACAATGAAAATTAACTATTCATAAAAATATAGTTTCCACTGTTTACTGACATCAGCTGTAAAACCATTGGAAACCAGAAAGAACTAGATTGTTTTCATCAACGATTCTAAATTCTCAGAAATGCACTCTCATCACTCTTCACAGGATGTGATCAAGAATATTCAGATCTCACAGAAAAAATGTAATCAATAGATCCCAACGCAAAGCTGAATCGTATGATACTTTCCATCAGAGTTAAAAGTCCCTATTTCTAACACCTGTTAGGTCATATACAAAGATTCCTGAACTCGGATAAATCAGTGAGACCAATTCTTAATATCTTTTCAACGGTTTTCCAACTAACGTGATCTGAATGATTTTCAAGTAATACTAGAATATCCCTAAAATCAACCGACCTAACTATACTTTGGAAAAATAATAGACTTTACACTTAAAAAACAGGCGAATGATGTTTAAAAGGAGAATACAGTATAAAATACAAATTAACTTAATTACCTAATAACATTTTAACTGAAATCTAAAATTTCTTATTATCAATTTTATCTGTTTTTATTTATTTTAATTAAAAGGAGTTTAAAACAAATAATCCACAAATGTTAAGAATTACCGACACATTACCATATTTAAAGGAAGCATCAGAGTAAGTTATGCAGGTTTTGTTAACACTTCGAATTTTTTTAGTTTATAAGCTTATATGAGGGTATGTTTCATGAAAAATGTTGTAAAAGTTGAAAAAATAACTGAAAAACTATAAGAAATCTTCACTACTTTAAAATAAAGATTACAAATAGAAAGAATAAGTAGTATGATCAAATAGTCACCTAAATGTACATTGTATTTGTCACAGATTGTTCTTAGCAAGAGCTTTACTTCAGGACAAATAATAATGAACAGTTGTTTCATTGCAGTATACGGCTCCTGAACAGTGTTCACTTACCACTATGATCGAACGATTATCTCACTATATTCCGAATTGATTGAACTTGAAATTGTAACGCTAAACAATTATTTAGCTGCTATGCTCTAGCTGTGAGACCTTAAGGTTCAGATTTCGATGCTTGCTGACAGTGTGGATGTGCATTGTTCAGAACTCCCATACTATGAAGAAACAGCCGTTCAGTGTCCATCAGTTTGTAATGGTATACTAGTTTAGTTCAACTTGTCATGAAAGCGGCCTACAAACAATAGCAATCTCTACAAAACTACTTCAGCTAAATAACTTAAGTGGTTTCCTTGATATTTGTATTATTTGAAAGTAGTTTTCATTTAGGACTAATGTATACTGAAAAATAATTGGGAAGTGTGAACCACGTAATAACTGTTTATTTCTAGATTGATCGATCACGTTTCAATGTGGCCACTAGTCTAGGTGGCTCGACACTGCGTGCACTATATATTGAGATAAGATGGTGGTTGGAGGTGGTCAACAGGAAACCCTGGACCCGGATTTCGTGCCACTTGGCAGCCCGAATAGCTCAGTGGTAACGTCTCTGACTGTGAAGCTGAGTGACACGGGATCGAATTCGTCAGGGAGCACCAGTTCCCTCAAGATTACAGGTACACCTTGCTGACGAGTGCCAAGTAGCACGAAACCCGGGTCCAGGGTTTCCTGTTGACCACCTCCAACCACCATCTTATCTAAATATTTTTTTTCTTTTATTTCTTAACATTTTTGATAAGTTCCTTTGGGAATAATATAACTAGGTCAGTTTCAAAATACAAACAATAGTACAACTATCTCTACATACCGTCCTGATTACATGTCTCAATAGTTGAATATTTCTCATGAAAAATCAGTTTATTTGCCAATTTTTATATAATTTCACAATGAAAAAACGCTTCTGAAAAAGCAATTAATTCGTTTCACATAACTATTCTTTAAATTCTACAATCATATTTCAGTTTGTTAAATTATCAAAACTCATTGGTAATTACTTTTAGGTTCATTAAGGAAAAAATTATCTGAGTCAAAATGTGTTACTTGTATCAGAGAATCCAATGTCGATCAAATCATTTAAGCTAACTATTATCAGGAATTATTCATGTAGATAGTTATCTGTTATGTAATTATACATAATAAATTATCCATCAGTATAATTAACAACGAACAAATACAAACGAAGGCAACAAATGTAGCAGAAGCCTCTTCACCGATAGGCCTAAATATACACAAAGTAAAAAGCAAGATTCTCAAATACAACACGGAGAACATCAACCCAATCACACTTGGTGGCGAAACTCTTGAAGAGGTGGAAACATTCGCGTACCTGGGAAGCATCATTGATGAACACGTAGGATCGGATGCAGATGAAAAGGCGAGGATTGGTAAAGCAAGGGCAGCATTTCTACAATTGAAGAACATATGGAACTCAAAACAGTTGTCAACTAATTTCAAAATGAGAATCTACAATACGAACGTCAAGACCGTCAGTTCTACTGTACGGAGCTGTAACGTAGAGAACTACTAAATCCATCGTCAAAAAGGTACAAGTAATAATAAACAGTTGTTTACGCCAAATACTCAACATCCACTGGCCGGATACTATCAGCAATAGCGTTTTATGGGAGAGGACAAACCAGCTTCTAGTTGAAAAGGAAATTAGGAAAAGACGTTGGAAGTGGATAGGACATACATTGAAGAAATCACCAAACTGCATCACGAGCAAGAGCTAACTTGGAATCCTGAAGGGAAGAGGAAAAGAGGAAGGCCAAAGAACACATTACGCCGGGAAACAGAAGCAGATATGAAAAGGATAAATCATAAATGGAAAGGATTGCCCAGGACAGGATTGGATGGAGAATGCTGGTGGTTGGCCTATGCTCCTCGACGAGGAGTAACAGGCGTAAGTAAGTAATAATTAACAATCTTATATTGGTAGTTTTCATCAATAAGAAATTAATATTTTATGTGTATATTAATTGAATAATCGAATTTACTGGTATCATCATAATAGTAGCAGTGGTAGAAATTCATATTTTTTCAAGGGATTTAATCAACTATTAATTTTAAAAATAGTGAGGAAATAGCTAACTTATTTAGAAATATACATTAAAGCAAAAACAGATCATTTCTTATTTTGAATTTTTTTTAAAAGTGAACAGGAAAAAAACACAAATATACGAAAATGTACATTTTAAGTAGTACGTAAAAAATGTTTTAAATTTTAATACCATCTATAACTCTATACTACCAAATAGCTAATCATTATTATATTCTATTTTTCCCATAATTTATATATATACCACTATCTATTTAGTTTTCTTAAACCAATATTTTTTTAGTGTATCACTTGATTTAATTATAAAAGAAATTAATCGGTTCAAAAGTAGATTACAAAATATGACTCAAAATTTTGATCCAGAAACGTTTGGAGAACAATCAAAAATTTGTGAATTTATTGAGGTAAGTCACAAATATCTTTTCATTCATTAGAGTTAATAGAAAATTTCTAGCTTTATATATGTGACTAGAATTATAAAATTGGCACAAAAATAATAGCCAGATAGTTGTTAGACTATTCGTAATCTAATTAGTTCACACTAATGAGATTAAGAGACAAAAATATACAGTTTCAATACTTAATAAACGGAGATGACCAGTATAAGAATTGAGTTTGATTAGACGTGTGGATTCAGCCATGTTATCAAAATGATCATTCAGCGGTTTTAGCTTCGAAATATTAATGAGTATATTATATAATAACTATTGATTAAAAAGTGAATTTCAGTTAATGACAAAAGTCATGTAATGTACCAAGATGTACAGCTGAGAAACAGACTTGTTGCTAGGAACGACCATCCACGTAAATCAAATGTTGCGGAAACCGAAACCATTAGAAGAATGTGTGAAGAGTTTTTCTAACAATAAATAATAGACGTTTCTGAATCTTTAAGCCTATGAGAGTTTTATCATATCATAACAAATGGTAAACAAATTCTTGGTAGGCTGAAGAAAATTGATTATTCTCCATGAATAGATTATTACTGACCACTAGCAAATATTACTGCTTCAGTTTGTTAGGGATATTAACTAATATCTCTCATCTAAACTTTAAGCAGAATTTAGAGTGGTACATGTTTTCAAGTTCGCTGTGAAATCGATTATACGGATTACAGGTTCTTAATGCATTTCAGATCATTTAATCTTGAAAGTAAGGTTCAAAACCAATGTTTACGTTAAATTTTAATTGAATACATCCTGATCTCTTGATAAATTTAAATAACATGAGACAAACGAGATCTGTAGGTCTTATTTTTCTTGCTTTATTTAAAGTAAATATTGTCTACTTGCATGTTAACTAAGTAGTATAAAGTAATTTCAAAAAATATTTTTGCATACATTTTTTCACAGCAATCAAATAAAGAACTAAATGATGTACAAACACAAATGGAAAAACTTCAAGAATTAGAAGTAAAGTGTGCACAATATTTCTGCGAATGTCCAACACAATTTAGAATTACAGAGTGTTTACAAACATTCAGTTTATTTTTTGAGAAAATGAAATCCACAGAACAAGTAGGTCATTCCTTTGAAAATTCTCCAATGACTAAATAAAAATAAGCTTCTAGACAAAAATATATTGACAAAAAGTTTCGCACATATTTTTACTCAACTGGAAGTGAACCAACATTACTCTTGACATAAGAAAATGAAAATTTGACAGTTTTTAAAGGAGAAAAAATGAATTGAGGTGAAGAATTAGGGGATATTATTATCTTTACTGCAAGATGACTAACGTTATGTTGTCTTGTTCAGCTTTCTAATGTAACTAATAGTCTAACCAAATCGGATTAAAAATAGATTATTTCATTCGATACATTTGGAGAATGCATTTATTTATTTTGTAAACTAAATTTGACTTTCAAGGCCTTTAATCAGAAGGTATTGAACTCGAGTGTATTTAAGTTTATTTGAGTTATTAGGTAACACATTGTTAGTTTGAAGCAATTAGTGTCTTTGATAAATTTCGATAATGTAATAAGAAGACGAAGATTATCAGAACTATGTGATATATTAGAGCATTACATTTCGAACAATCTGATCATACATATACTTGTTAAGAACATTTATGTATAAAAATAAAAGGTCATCTAGACTGGAAATGGGGGGGTAAGAGGAGACAAGGATAATAATAATAAAAATAATGTGAAAACAAATTGACATCTAATCACTCTGGTTAATAAACCTACCAGGGTAGGTTTAAGGTGAGAAGAAACTGTTTTTGAGTACACAAACGGGGTTTGAATTTTCGTATGGCTAAGGCTTCAATAAACCTTAGTATACGCCTTTTTATGCATTAATATAACACCACAAAAGCCGAGTTAAGATCAATCTTATGACCTGTTTCGATTATATGTTTGGTAATAGAGGATGATGGATGTTTATCCTCTACTCTTATTGGGTCATTCGATTCTATTTATTTTTGCAACCATTTTGGTACATGTTCACCTACCCTAATTTTCAGATCACGAGTATATGTGTGATCATATTGTTCGAATTGTATTGCGCTAATATATCACATAGTTCTGATAATGTTTGTCTTCTTATTACATTATCGAAACATTGCTAGTTATTGGTTCCAATGCTTAAAGCGAATGTAACGTTCTAGCTTGAAACTAATTAGCATCGAACACTTAATTGTTACTATAAACTGGTAAGGAACAAATGTCCGAATCATTCTAGTTTGTAATATTTCTACAAATAATATATTTTTAAAATGAAACATATTACCTAAATTAGAATTTGAGTAGTTACTTTTAACTAAACCAATTTATTGCTCATTATAAAATTAAATTAAGGGATAATATGAAACAAACTTTTAAATTATATAACTCTAACTTATTTCAATTTAGGAAATAAAAGAATTTGAACAAATGGATAAAGAGAGATTGGAAAAATTAAATATTAAGGATACATTGAACCAAACAAGTAAGATGTTAATAAAAGTTGATTAATAAAAGTTGATAATTAATGATCATGAGTCGATTGAAGCTAGACCACTATGGAAAACCTGGAAGCACTGGACGGCCGTTTGGCCCTATTATGGGACTCCTCAGCAGTGCACATCCACGATCCCGCTCAATTTCGTGGATTAGTTGTAGTTAGATATTAACACCGTTGGATGCCGAACCAGTGGTCTATCGGTTAAGTGCTTTGGTGCGAGAGTGGTAGGTCCTGGGTTCGAATCTCGCGAGTGCGGGATCGTGGATGCGCACTACTGAGGAGTCCCATAATAGGACGAAACGTTCATCCAGTGTTTCCAGGTTTTCCATGGTGTTCTAGCTTCAATTGACTAATGATCCCAACTCTATAAAATTACTAAAATATCCACAAAGCCCCTTCTGATAATTAATGATCAATTAAAATTCGAGTTCATTTAGGTGTATAATTATTTTCTCTTCATAATTTTCAGCATATTTAATAGTTTATTTGATTCATTATTGGGACAAAGTAAAATTATCAGTGAAACTACAAGATGAGATAAGAAGTTATGAATTTGAACGAATGTAATATAACTATGGATTGATTGCACAAAATTTCATTTGAGCTTATATTCAGTTGAATATATTGTAATAGCAGCTTAAATATAGACTAAAATTATTTATTGAATTTTGATGTTCGGCGTAAGGCACTAGGTGAAGATTCTCAATCGACTGAGGTAGTTGGAAAACATATTACTTATGCTTAACCACGATCTAGTTATACGGGCGGTTTGTAGTAGTCTGAAAGGCCAAAGGTGGCTAAACCAATACTTGGCGCCAGTTCATAAAGTTTCTAACCGTTGGCCTGATCCGTGTTGACAAGTATAAAATACCTGGTCAAGTTCCACATAATGACCAAAATCACGTGTAGTCTGTGGATGAAATGACTAAGAATTGCCTATAATGGTGTAGATTTATTCATTATTTATCTTCCTCTAGATATTGAGTTCCTGCATTTCTTCAACCGTTTTCAAACCATATTCTCAAAATTTAATTTTTTTCATTTGATATACATCTTATTACTTTAATCTAATTGCAATATTGCGGAATGACAGCTTAGGCCAAACCCCATTTGTGTTAAGCTCTATGTTGATTAAAACTAACAATAATATCCCAATTAGCAATCACAAATATTCACTTGGTTTCAATGTTCTTCCGTTTTTTATCTTTTCCAGATACAAAATATAATCATAAAAACAGTCAAATAGTGGAAGATAAACCAAAATCAATCCATGATGAACATAATACAATGATGAATCTAATTTCTAACAATATATCAAATCCTAGAATAGTACACAATAGATCAAGAAGTCGTTCTAGTGCGAATACACTTAATTTTTCTAACCCTTCAAATTCATTTTCTAAATGCACCATAGAAAATAAGAATCCGAATAAGGACAAAAATTATACAGATGAATTGAATATGGTTTCAAAATCTACTAATATTTCACATTCAACATCGGTGTTTGAAGTACGTGATTAACACTATAGTATCTATATTATTATTTGTATAACCTTTAACCCATTGACAGAATAGAATATGATATACGGAATCAAGATTTCACACTTAGTATTTTTTAAAACAGAATAGTTAATGGTTATAGAACAATAACTCAGTGATTAAGTGCTTCTTAATAAGTCGGTGTAGCAGTAGCCTATTAATCAATAGGCCTCAACATGAACAAGGGAAAAAACAAGATTCTCAAATACAACAAGGAGAACATCAACACAATCACACTTGATAGAATAACTCTGGAAGAGGCGGTAACTTTCATGAAAATGCACAGCATCATCCATAAACAAGGAAGATCTGATACAGAGTGGCAAAGCAAGGATAGCATTCCTATAGTTGAAAAAAATATGGAACTTAAAACAACTGTCAACCAATATCAAAGCTAGAATCTAAAATACGAACGTCAAGACAGTGAGTCCTATTGTACGGAACGGAAATGTGGAGAACTACCGCAACCATCATCAGAAATGTACAAGTATTCATAAACAAAATTCTACTCAATATATTTAATGTCCGTTGACCGAACACCATCAGCAACAGCCTACTGTGGGAGAAAACAAATCAGCTTCCAGTTCGAGAGGAAATTAGGAAGTGGATAGGACATATAATGCGAAAATTAACCATCTGAATCATGAGTCAAGCGCTAACTTGAAATCCTGAAAAAAAAACAGAAAAGAGGAAGACCAAAGAAAACACTGCACCCTGGGTATCGGAAGCAGATATCAAAAGAACTGGGAGCGACTGGAAAGTATTGCCCAAGACATAGTTCGATGGAGAACTCTGGTTGTCAGCCTATGTTCCACGAAAGATGACAGGCGTAATCAAGTGATAATTCGTTAACATGGTCTTTTATTGTCTAGGCAGCCGGACGGTGTCATCAAATACTACACCAAAATAAGTGTTGATCAAAGCAAAAAATATGATCTTGTACACAGTTATTGATGGAGTTGAACTACTAATATAGTTCAATCAAAATATAGATTTCACTTTGAATTCTGAAAAAGATATTTACTAATTAGGTTACTTTCTTCTTAAAATTTCTTTAAACATTTTTTGACTGACAAATTCTTAAAATATAAATTTAATGATTGTGAGTAGTAAAACTCGTGATTTTCAAATTATCCGAGCTATAGAGAAGATTGTTAAATAGCTCCAAAATCATTAAAACAGTACACTGAACTGACAGATAAATGTTTAGCCGAACTAGAGATTATTGTAGCTGTAAGTTTAAATCGAAATAATAATATTAATATATATATATACTGAAAACAAAACTTTTCATCGTAATGAGCTAGCTATTCGTTCAATGTAAACACTATTCAATGTCTATCTAGACAATTAAATGAAGGATTTTACATATATTATATGTGGAAATTCCTAGACACCGAATTACGTAAGACAGAATATATATGTAGTTCATTCACGACTATCCAAAAGTTTAAAATAATACTCAATTTCTTCATATTAATCTTCCTCACTTCAATTTAGCATTCATCAACAAACACAAATGGAAAGAACAATAACATTAGAATAAGATCACGTCAATCAGTTGGACAGCATCGTATGAATACTAAATTTCAAATAACTGACAATGAATTTGAACGTGAACGTGGGCCATGGTCACAGATTCAAAATCAATCAATTAATTCTTCCAAAAATGGTATTAACCAACAGTTAAATGAGTCGAAAGCCAATCAAAGTAGTGATGAAGAGACAGTATATCATTTGAATGAACGAATTAAACGATTAGCATTAAAACTTAATAAAAGCTAATGGTACATTAATTAACAATGTAGCAAGGTTATCATTTTATTTTAGAATTTTCAGTTTTTATTCAAGATTATTTAGTAAATTTTAGGAAGAAACCTTTTTGTAATGCTGCCATTTCAAATTAATGTAAGCATAAATATCTAGATTTTCTTTAATTCAATTTTTTCTGTAAATGAGTTTTATTTGATTTCACTTGAGTGTGATCATTGAATGTACTATAAATGTTACTTGTGTCTTTTATCACTGTATTTAGAACAGTTATATCGACAATATAGTAAAGTAATATCATATACTGTAATATTAATGAATAGAATTGGCTATCGCCAGATTTATGTTATTTTCGATGGGGTATGTTGCTTAGATTTACAAGGTCCCTGATAGTATCTGGGATAGAGACAAAAGCATATTCTCATTAAACCATTGTCATACTTTCAAAATGTATTGCGAAACGAGTGGTAATCTTCTATCAAAACTTTCCCAAAAATGTTGACGGCAAGTGTCTTTCCACGTCAGTCATTCAGCCGGTTTTGGAGGTCACTATGTCAGACGATCACCCATGTCATACTTTAACTTGGTGCTTGCTACAAATAGATGGTTGTCTGGGCATAGTTGGAAACAATAACTGTTACTTGAGCTCGGACAACGAGAGATCTTAATTGTCTTCCAATTCGATTTGGTCTATATAACTATTCACTAAGATGAATTGCAATCATTACACCTAGGTACCTAGTGTTCTGGAAGTCAGAAACGTTCCTATAAAAACTCTTGATTGTTTCATTCAAGCCCCAGTCAGTGTGAGTGTAAGCACAAACTATGAAAAGAAGACAGCGTGTCCTCATCTTTCCAAGCTGTTACCATCCTGCTTAGTTGCACTCATCATAGTGGCGATATTGCCAACGCTATTGATTGTATAATTAAATGTTATTTCTATTAATAAAAGACTTCAAGAATAAACACTAGAATTTGATCTATTCACTCTGTCTGATGTGGTATTCGGGTTCACGTAAACGTCCTAACGAACTTTTTAAAAATTTTTGGGTCAGAGAAATTGCATATAAAGAATGCTCTTCATTAACAGACCCACTGATCCCCAAACAAAGTGAAACGGTAAGATTGATTATAAATTATTATATTAGGAAGAAGGAAAATACATAACTCATCAACATAGTAATATTTGTTAGCTACGAGAGTTAATCTATCGTCTTTGTAAACAATATACATAAATTTCCCTGCGGATTGACTGATGCTAATTACCTACAGTTCAATGCATTCAAATTCACCTATTGATCACTGAGTGGTGATCAATGTCATGTATGTCAGGTCTTTCTGAGTGCACATCGAATCCTATCGACCAAGTTGCAATATGGACACTAGTCTAGATGACTTGACATTGCGTGCACCATATTGAGATAAGATAGTGGTTGGAGGTAGTCAACAGGAAAGAACCTGACATACATCACCACCCATTGATCAATCAATTCTAAATACATCTCAGTCCTACAAGAGGTCGGTCGCGGATTCGATAGCTCAGTGATAACATCTCTGATTGTGGTACAGGGTGACAAGTGATTGAATCCGTCGGGGAGCATTAGATCCCTCAAGATTACAGGAACACCTTGCTGACAAGTGCCAAGTAGAATGAAAACTAGGTCTAGAAATACTGTTGAGTACCTTCAACCACCATCTTAACCATACCATCGGCAGCGCACCAACATTTTGACAAAACATTGCACATTACGATGAAGCCTAAAGATGTTTTAGTTTATCGGATAATATATATCAAAATAGCCTCAAGCTCTTCCGAATCCATCCCTAACCTTCTTTTTATTTGGAAAAATGAACAAAATTATAAGTAGAAAATATTAAATGCTCAAAAACCATTTCCTTCAAGTTGCATCAGCAAATAACGAATAATTCTAATTAAACTATGCCCAACTTCTTATAGTTCCTGTTGGGGAGGCCCAGATAATTCCCCTAAAAAAAAACCTAAGAACACTGGGAAACATTTTATCTAATCAGCACTGAATAGAACTTTCTCAGAAAAATCTAGAAAGTGAAAAGCCACGTCACATTCCTGACTGGATGATTACCTACCCTGCTACTATGTTTAGTAGCATTCCAGAACTTTCCAGAAGTCCATGACCGTCTGAAACACTACAGATACACTACATTTTCTGTATATAAACTAACGTTAGAATAAGGCGTTCTTTCCGTATTACGCGCCTTTTCTCTCGTGTTCAAGTTGTCGTGTAGAATTAGCATGAGATTATAAGAAGACCTTAGAAAACCGATTCAAGCGCTCAGTCAGAAGATTTAACAGTTCCCATATAAATGATTTTGGAATAACGAATTAATACCAAAAGAATATTTTATAATCACAAATTTATAATTCAAACTCAAAGTTGTTCAATGACACCTATTGGACATTTCAAGCGGAATTGAGATCATATATATTATATTGTATAAGTTTTACTAAAACAAACCACAGCGGTGAAACAACACCAAACAAAGCAAAAGAAGTCTTTTTCTTCTTAAACTCAAAAGATTTCAACACTATATTATTACAAACAGTAACAAAACTTTAATATAATTCTATTTTCAATGAATTAAATTTTAGTGATATATCTGCTTGAATAGATAAATATAACAGTAAGTTAGCTGGTATGTGTGTATGGGTTTTTATATATATATAGTGATAAAAGGAAAACACTTTTAAGTGTCGCAACGATTACAGTCAAAAGTAATCAAGATTGTATAGTGATTAAACAACAATAATAACAGAAATCAATATCTATAGTTTACAAATTAAGATATTTGATAAAATGTTGTATCATCACATTAAATCTTCCTTCGTTTCCACTTTTAAGCACAGAATTAAAATGAGTTTTAAAAAAATGCATTAGGCACTTTACGAAAAATCAAACAAAACGAAAGCAATCAATAACACAAAACGTACAGATGAATCGCTCTCTTTATATATATATATATATAGGCAAGAGAGAAAATGTTTATTTCAATGTACACACACACAAACGCATGAAGATGGAAATGAGAACAAAAATAATAACAGCTAATGAATGTCTTCTTATTTTATGTATATGCATATGGATAGATATCTTCATCAATAACTCTTGATTCTACATTGTCATCATCTTCGTCTAAAAGTAGACGATATATGTTGATAGGAAAAACCTTTTTTCAAAAATAAAATAAATTGAAAACTTATCATTTCTTGTCCATTATACAAAGATAATATCTAACACATATTCATGATGATATCATGTTATTCCACCGTATTTACTTAATAGTTCATCACATATTTTAGTTAATTCTTCATTCTCACGAGTCTGGAAATAAACAATGAAACATCATTGTAAATGATTATAAAGAGAGAGGACAATGAAAATAATTGCAAAAAAAAAATTGATATGTTATTTTAATCAGAAGGTACTTTCTATGAAGTCAGGTTTTACTATAAGATGTTACGTTAAATGCATTGATTAACTATATGACTTTCACTTTCCGACTTAGCAAGAAGGTCAGTTATTTGTTAATTAATGGAGATGTGGATTTTGTGATAAAAGGACTCGGTAACCAAGGTTCAAGTTGCATATTCGAATCCCGGTCCAATTAATTCAGCTTGAACAACCATGCAGAATTGCCATCTCAAAGATGAATATATAAATGTATACTTAATGTAAAACTTACGACTGTTTTAAATAACAAAAAGGCCATACATAACATTGATAATCAAACATGCTAACGATAGGATATTGACAGATCTGAACATATGACTATAGTAAGCTAAGATAAATGACGCGAAAACAATATCTTCCTACTAGTGTAACTGCTAAACTATAGCACCATACAAAGTCATCTTAATTGTTACTGACATATCTTTCTATATAACACTGATGTAAGATTATAATTACCTGGAAATAATAGGACTGGCATAATATGCTTATTTGAACTTGTTCCGAAAATAACCTGTGACAGGTGATGGAGGTAGGATTCCTCTCTTCCTCTTAAAACGCGCTCATACAACTAAGTTTCTCGATCTCCACCAGGTAAACTAACCTTATTGAATTTATGCACTGCATTTGAATGATATAATGGAAAAGACCAGTAAAACTGCTCGTCGCTTGGAAAAATGTCCCGCTTATAAACAATGAGGTTCACACATTTCTTATAACTCCTTGAAACACGGCAGTCTATTCTGGTACGTCGCGAGCTTGATGAATCATTTAAATTGTTAGGTAGCAGAATTTCACAATCCTTCACCGAGAACTGAGAAATCAGGTGGTCATAAGCCCATGTAGTTGGATGAAATAGATACACTTGGTAATTGGTAGATGTTTCGTCTTATCCAAGCCATTGAAAGCAAGAATTTCTGATTCAGTAAAACAATCTGTGGGGTTGATGGCACGTGAATTAGTCAGTTCGAAATGCTTTCCGAACGTTGAGCAGAGCTTATTGGTACACCATTCGATTGGTCTGTTATTCTAGTAATGCCGAACAGACAGTCCTGTGCTCTTTTATCACCGACTGCTGATCCCCCATAACGATGGAGAGGTCATAGGGGACTCCAACGCCTGATGAGTCATGAGTTACCAAGTCCCGGAGACTTATTATCAGCCCATTTCAAAGATAGTCATGAATTTATAAACAAAGGACTGACTGAATTGTTCGGAAGAAAAATGGGGAACGTAATGTTCTATCTGGGAATGAAACGATTCTTTGATCCTTAACATTCCGCATATTTTAGAAAGCCCATGAAAGATCAACTGATGAAGAGTGAGTCGTTACAATAACTTAACCAAAATTGTTTTAGATAAACAAAATAATTGTTTGAAAATAATGTACAGTAATCTCAAGGACTACGATTTCGAATACATTATTTTAGTCATAAAAAATCTTCGTTTTTGAAAAAAATCCAATATTCTATAAAATCTGACGATTCATTCAACTAGAAATTCAATAGACATGATATGATATGAACAAATTTCTTTCACATCTGACAAGTAAACTCATCAACATAAAATGTTCGTATGTAAGATCTATGAACCTCCCTAAAATGATAATTCGGTTTTGTGTTGATTAACAAATAAAAATTAAGGATATCTAAATAAAGTGAAAAATACTAGCTACTTTCTAATACAATTTATGAAATTTCATGTGATTCAATCACCACTGAACATAGATCTGAGTATTTGGATCAGCTTTGACTGGTAGTGTTTTTTTAGTGTGTGAACTATTGAAACTTGTTTCATACACATAAGTCCCTTTAGTATATTAAAGAGAGCAAAAATGAAGATTGATTCAGAATAATATGAATTCATTTTATTTCGTTAGGTTATCATCATTTGCTTACAACCTGTAATATTTTAAAATCAAAGTTATTACAGTTGTTGACATACTTATAAATACTAATGTGATTAGAGATGAATATGTGTATCACGATGTAGCGAAGATTTCAACAGAGTTAATAAGATCATAAAATATTTTGTTTCAAATAAATAAAGCGTGTGAGGGAAAGATTCTAGAACTTCGAACTAGTGATTAGAAAACATAGAGTTGATAAACTTTAGATGGTTGTGTAATGAAGTAACTGAAAACAGGTTAACGCTATGAAAGAATGATATGAATGGAAATCAGTTAATTCCGATCAGAATTATAAATGAAAGAAAAATGACAATGATGTAATCAAAACTTCAGAAAGAGTTGAAATAATGAATGGTCTGGACCTTTCTCTCCCACACTTTATTTATCTGAAACAAAATATTTTATGATCTTATTAACTCTATTGAAATCTTCGCTACATCATGATACACATATTCATCTCTAATCACATTAGTATTTATAAGTATGTCAACAACTGTAATAACTTTGATTTTAAAATATTATAGGTTGTAAGCAGATAATGAGAACCTAACGAAATAAAATGAATTCATATTATTCTGAATCAATCTTTGTTTTTGCTCTCTTATTCATACTTGGTTGGTAAAAGGAAATAACATGGAGTAAAGTGTATTTTTATCACATAAAGTATGCACACGAGATAATAATCAAGTATATGTACGGCACAATCATTTTAAGCAAATAGAAAAGAATCACTGCATGGAAAATACTCATACGAAAATAACACTACAAAAAGGTTTTCAATTACGGTCTGAATAAGGTTAGTTTGTGATTTAAATTAAGAAAATTCTATAATCCATGCAAAGCCGCCAATACTAATAATAATCATGTACTCATAAGTGATCAGTTTTAAGATGCAACTCCCGAAATTCTAATGAAAAACTGTGACCAGTGAAGTTCAACCATATTGGGTGTGAGACAGTTATCTACTCCAGGCAATGAATGAAGGTTGTGCAATACCGTGGATTGATTGAAGTTAGACACGTACACCGTCGGATGCCGACTCAGTGGTCAAGAGGTTAAGCGCTTACATGGAAGACCGAAAGTCCTTGGTCTGTGTATTTTCGTTGCTGAGAAGTTCCATGCTAGAATGAAACAGCTTATTAGTGCTGCTATGTTTCAAAGGCGGTGTAACTAAGATCGCTTCGTGATTTAAACTAAGGAAATTAAAGTGTAAGACAGTTCCTTCACAAAGAAAATTAGTGAACGACAAAATAGAATCAGAAAAGAATAAAAACCGATGGTTTTATTGAGGCATATATATTGGTCATTTTAATGACAAATTTATGTTTACAATAAGGTGTCATGCAAAATCACAAATATAAATTATCACATACTTTTTGCTGTAACTGAGATTCAAAACTCTTAACTTGAAGTTCAGAGATTCTTAATGAAGCCTGTAATCGAGTTAGATTTGTTTCATATTCTTGTTTTATTCCTTCTGTGTCTTGATTTACTCTATTTACAGATGGAAAAAGATATTTAAAATGAAAATTGAAATGAACTTCTTACGTTATATTAAACAAATACATATGATTCAGTCACAATTGGGTGATTTAGATGGATTTTTATTCTCTGAGCTGGGTAGTTTAGTCGTGAAACTTTTATTATCTTCCTAGAGGACATTATCAGAAAAGGCTACAGATAGATGTGTTATTCGGATTCTCCACATATGACTGCCAGTGTGATCAAAATTGATAAAACAAACGTTTGCAACCATTGGATAAAGTAATCACGCAGACCCCAACCAAGTAGTTTGCGCCAACATGGCTCATTTCCAAAGCCAGTAACTTCGTCAAATGATGCCACGTCTTGGTTTGGTCACCCATAGCTTTCTTCCAGCCTACTCCAATAAACATTGTATATCGCTGTAGGCGGTGGTTGGGCATAAGTAATACACGTCTCAACAACCTGAATTGACGGAGAATCACTTTTACATCAGACGATTTGCAATGTTCACCTGTTACTCTGCGTTAAACATCAACACCGTTCGCTCGGTAGTCCTAATACACGTGACCATTGCTTCGAAGACATGTTGGGTTAGATATTTGTAGTAAACTACGAATGTCCTCTACTTGTTAAGGCAAAGTTTCAGTCAAAAATTAAAGTGGGGTGGATTGCTGCCCAGTATATACATTCATTGGCAAACGGACACCCCACCTATGCTACAGGTAACCGATCTTAACAAAAGACAAACGATTTTTGCAAATCCATGCTGAGACTTCATCAGATTAACTGGTCTGCTAATATAAGTAAAATGGTCGACGGGTTCAAATACTTTCATCCTTATCACCGATTTCGATCCTGAACCGGACCAGTTAGCGAGCTACTCAAGGCAGACACAGAAATTAAGCTAGACACACAACTAAGCAATCAACAGTAAACAATTTTATATTTTACTACTTAGTAAAAGATAGGATATTTTATATTACTAACAACTACTCACTTTAATAGCTGATCTTCAGCGTGCTTTTTCAAAGCTAAATATTTTCTTTCCTGACGTTGTAATAAACTTTTATACTCATCAATGCTCTTTTTTAAAGCTTCTTCATTCTGAAAAATAAGGAAATAAATATTGTAAAAAAAGATTTGAGAAGTACAGTCAAAGTACGGTCAGGTTAGATAATACTTCAAAAAAGTACACAACTTTTACAAATGAAAACAGACAACATAAGTCGTTTTTTTAAAAACAATGATACTGTGTTAGATGCAGTTCATAAGTTTCTAGAAATCTACTTCACTTAAGGGATTACAATAAATTTAAAGTCAACAACTGAAGGCAAAAGTAAGTACTAACCAAAAACTAAATGATACAAATAAAAGCAAATTAAACTCAACAAAGCATAGACATGAACCGATGTTTTTCCTTAAACTATACCTGAATACAAAAAGAAATAACGAAAACATCGTTTTACATTGTTTACTGAAGTCGTCTGTCTAAAATTAGTCAGGATTAAAATCATATTGCATACACAGAATACATTTTTAAAGAAATTGATGTAAGAAGGACCTAAAGCCTTAATTTCACAGAATTTTCATTAGAATAAACAACGAAACGATATTAAACAAGGCAAGACCACCTGTTGGAGATAGTCAACAGTAAACTCATGATTTGTGTTTTACAACATTTAATACTCATGAGCGAGGTATATCTGTATTCTTGAGGAAACTGACCCATCAATATGGATACAATCTCGCATCACCTGGTTCAACAGTTTAGGATGTTACCTCTGAGTTTTTTGAGCCGAGACTAACTCTTATGTAGGACTAAGAGATATTAACAACTGATTGGTTACTGAGCAGTGATCGATGCCATGTTTTTATTTAATTCATTAGCACTAATTGAACTATAGTGATTTAGCTGCAGTTTGAAGGATAAAAATTAATCAGTACTAAATGATTAGACAAAAACATGACAGTGGTCATTACCCAGTAACCAATCAATCGTAAATAAGAAATTATTGATTTGTTGCTCCCCTCACCCTCACAAACAACTAAACGACAAAGAATTAATATCAGTTTGGGTTTGTTGATATTGTTGAATTTCATCGAAATCATGAATCGATTTACGTTGGACCACCAAAGACGGCCTACTCGGTAATAAAGTGAAGTGCAATGTATGTAACTAGTGTTTATCATTTCACAAAAGGTACATGGAACATTTAGAAACTATATATATATATATATATACTTCATTTAAAGTAAAAAAAATATTAGAGAATGGTTTCCATACATAGCAAAAATAGAATGTTGCAATAGTCCTCCACAGAAGTACAAACTATTGACGATATATTTCTCAAAACAAAAGCAGAATAAAAAATCGACACAAAGAATACAAATGACGAAAAATGGAAGTAATAAAAAATATAACATTTTAAAAACAAAGAAAAGACAAACCTGTTTAAAACCTTCTATAATTTGTTTCGATTTCTCAAAACGTCTGTGTAAATCCCCAAAAGCTTTCTCAATGGTAGCTAACTCTTCTACAGCTTCATCACGTTCTTTAATTAAATCAGCTACTGGGATATTGACTTCTCTTTGACTATGAGCTTTCTCTTCAACCATATGCTGTAAACTACGATCATACTCTGTGATACAATGTCTGTTAAAACGTAAAAATACATATATAAATAAATATACGAGAAATAGTCTGAAAAAATGAGAAAACGTCAGATTGGTCGGATAAAAAAAGTCTTGGACTAAACCACACTAACTAACGATTCCTCTTCCGACCCCAAAATGGTGTTCTCAAGACTGCTCTATCTTCGCCTCTCTGTAGGCAACGACAATAAATGTAGTAAAAGAAAACTCAGGATAAACCAATTGATCATTTTATGGCTTTGTAAAATACAAAAATCATAAATTATTTACACATTTCAGGATTTCCAAATGTTCTGTCGTGAGTATCTTTTGTAGTTTCCTCTTTTGATCCTCTCTGACGTGTTGGTATTTGTGGGTCCTGTAATGTGCATCTGTTATCATTAAGTATACCATTTTCTTCCACTTTGCTCAGCTATTCTCCATCCCGTTGGGCAGTTAATTGGAGATCTGTATCTAAAACCTGTTGGTAGAACATGCTGAGGAAGACACTCGTAGAGAAAATACGGTTGTTCTCGAGTGAAAGTGTTTTGGCGAAATTCTCCCATTTTCGAACAACGAGAAGCGTACTACGCTCATATGATTTTGAAATGGTGGAGATTTGTAGCTCAGGTAGATGATTTTTGATGGAGTTTTGTTCTCTGAGCTGGATGGTTTGGTCGTGGATCTTTCATAGTTCTTTTGAACGACATCATAAGCACAAACTTCGGGTAAACTTATACCTGAAGTTTGTGCTTATGATGTCGTTCAGAAGAACGATGAAAGATCCATAACCAAACCACCCAGCTCACAGAACAAAATCCCATCAAAATTATTTGCACATCTTTCAGTTGTCGTTTACATACATCATGACTCTTCTTATTATGTTGTTATTTCAATTATTCTTTGTTTCCTTTCCTCTTCTCTTTAATTTAATCTTCTGCTAGCAAGCATTTCACTTCCAATTGCTGCTACATACTGCTTATATATGTTAGCATAAATAGCGAACACCACAATACAATGTTTACAAACAAAGGTGTAATATGCTTCACGAAAAAATAAAAGGGAATTATCGGACTGGAAAACGTAATTAATTAATTCAGAACGATGATGATGTCAGTTGGTGGCAAGGCATTAAATGTTACTTTTTTAAAGATAAAAAAGGAAACAACTTTAGAGAATTTAATAAAAATGGGACATTTAAGTGGTGAGAATTGATATAAACAAAAGTAATATTCTTTTCTTTTAAAAGAAAACTTTTACCTACAAATAGTATAATTAAATATTTAAAGCAGAACTAAACGTAATTAGAGTGAATCAATAAGTGATCGGTAGATATTTCGAAATAGTAACAAATTTTTCGATACCTAATTGTATATTTACAGGTAAACATCTCTGATACTTTTTCATCTAATTTCATACATTATTTGCGAAACGCAGTTCTAATATTTAGTTTTTACTATCGTTGATATCAGAATTTCTACTCATTATTGTGATCCGCATAATTTCTTGATATTACCGGTGTGAAATGTGATAACTCAGTTCAGCGCACATCTGTCATGAATCGTGCAACATTATCCAAGATTAGCTGAAATATCATATAAATTAAAATTATAGTGTTTTTAAAATCCTAATAAACATCACAGTTGATGATAATGTATAGAATTTGTTGATTGGTAATAATGCATTTAAACCAATTAACTTAGGAAGGAAAAATTGAGATACATATGCAACTGTATGTGTTACTTCTACTGTTATATTAATAACTTGGTAAACTGAACAAAAAAATAGTTGTTTTATTATTTAACCGACAGTTTAACTGATTACGGTATTGTGTAATTAGCCCAAATTATATATAATTGCATGCTTTTATGGCTAAGATGTTCTACTTTTTCAACAGATCAATAAGTCATATTTTAACCACGTCTATCCTTAATCTTACTTCACAAAAACTGGGGTATTTAAACACGGTGAATACATACCTCTATATGGCATGTTGGTTATCATGATAGCACAGTATACCTTTAACAGAAAATAGAGACCATAGCTGACAACTTGAGTATGATACTAGTTATCTGCGGCAGTGACGAAAACGTTAGTTCTACAAGGATGTTATACTTTTAAGTACTAAAGTTTCCTAAAAAATAACATTTCAGACTTCATACTTTAACTCGAGTTGGCTGTTTCAAAGAAATCTTATAGAGACGCCCAAACAAAGATATCCCTTTTAGGTGTAATTGATCAGTGAATTTCCCATCAAACTCATACAAAAAACTTCATAAACTATCAAACGAATAAAGCTGGTAAACAGATAGTTTATTCTGATGACTAAGATAACTTCGAGCACTACTACAAGAAAATGTAAATTGATTTCAGTTAACTTGAAAATATGAATACAATCTGTACATCGTGAACAACATAAGGATCATTTTGGCCCGTTTACGTTCAATTAACAGTTTATAAGATATTTTACAATATAATGCCTAAAACACTCAAAGAAAACATAATTCCATATAAAGACATTTGCGTGTAATTTATACAAAAAAAGTAAAGGGACTATAATTTATGGACGACCTTGGAGCGACGCTAAAATGACCTAGAGAATGTACACCTACTAACTCGGACTAAATGAAGGTTACAAACCAGTGTGAGGAATTAGAATTATGATTTACAGTTGATGTTTAGAGTTAGAAGTTAGATTTAGGGTTTTCACGATCTGACATCGGTTAAAATGCCAAATTGCTATTTAGCCAAATACATGTATGAAATTCGAACCATAACTCAAGACCTGTCATCCTATATCTCATTGGTTCGTCCAAAAACTATAGTCTCTGAAAAAAATAAATACTACAAGCAAACACTTACTTCATCTCTTCAATCGTAGTTAAAAGTTGATCTCGTTCCTTGCGTAGTGCAATTAATTCTGAATCATTCGATTTGGAATCTCGTGAGGATTTAAACGGATATTGAGGAGGTAGCTGAGAGTTTTCCTTTCCATTTACTAAAGGTGTATCTGATTTGTTAAGCATTCCAGCTTGAGCTGGTGATGCTGGTCGAGTTGATGAATCAATACGTGAAGTCTACATATTAAAAATGAAATGAACATGATTTTTAACTCAATTGACTAGATTTTACTACTATTTAAATGTAGAAATAATGTTATAGACTTTAAAAAAAATCAAAAGAATACAAATCTTGTGGAAATTTGACAAATAAGCCACAAAAACAGTCCATAAATTGATTAACTCGCGTGAAACATTGCTCAGTTACAAATAAATGCATCAATAATCGTATGACAGTAATACAAAAAACGTATGTACAAACAAATAGATTAGAACTATATGCTAACTTTTAGACGTAAAATATAAAATTAAAAATCAAATGATTGGTTGACCGAATAAAAAATTTACGCTACGAAATTTAAGGGCATATTAAAATAAGGTCAATATTTTATAGAACAATATTTCAGCAGTAACGTATACTATGAATCATATTACTATAGTCCAAAACTTGAAAAAGTTTAGAAGTAATCATAAAAATGAGAAAATCTAGACACTAATAATAAAATTAATAAAATTTCCACAAAACCCTCTTCTGATAATAATAAATTCATAAAACGTTCTACTGAATATAACATATCAATTATGTACAGGTTAATGGTACTTAGCCTTCAATCACATTTCTTGGTGTGAGGGCTATTTATGCATTTAATTGTTAGAATACATAATTACTGATACAAAGGGGCACCGGATATATATGCACACACACAAGACAGAAGCAAGTGGTTTTCTTAGGCGACCACACCCCGAGCCTTTGATCTAAAGGTCTAGTCCACAAGGCGGTGGAGCATCGTATGGAGATTCAGTTCCATGGTAGCCGGTGACCAACAGTTGGTTCCTTCAGGATACTGGAGCCAGCCCATGTGCACCATTGGTTTGGAATCACGGTTTTCCAACTCACCTAGGTGGATCCTCCACATCCACCAACCCGGTTAAAACACCGGACATTCGCTTTTCGTCCTATCACTTTTGTGAACAACACCCCCGCCACGAGAAGGCAGTGAGTGGGACTTCCCTGGCAGAGGCTATATATTCGCGTGGCCATATGAGAGCATTTGGAGAGGGAAAGCAGACTCTCCCCACTCTCAGCCGTACCATGGGATTTGTGGGCTGTGCGAGCTAATTAATCATATTACTCAAGTGTTAATGTCTAGTTAACTGAAGATCGTATTAAATCCTTCTAATTGTTAAAAAAAAACATGACTTTCAACCATTAAGTTTTATGCTCGAAACCCATTCTAAGTTGATTAATCAAATATAACATTAAATACAAGAACAATACCAAAAATTAGCCTGGTAAAATAATGTTGTGTTCTTAAACTTGTTTAAATATCCAGAGGAAAAAACTTTCGATGATTTCATTTACTTGAGCTGTATAATCATGTCCATAGTTCACTTGCCTGCTAGAAATGATAATTCATAGTTAAATATAGAATGGTCTCAACCTTTCTTTGTACCTTCCATAATCTTCCCTATTTCTTTCCGATTATTTCTCACGACTTCTAACTGACCATTAATAGAAATTCTAATTATTTTGTACTCATTTTTACCTAGTGGGCAATTATCTTCGCCTTAACATTTGTCACTAACTGTTGGATTATTACATAACTTCCTTTCGTAATCAATTTATGACAGAGTACTATATAAATCTTATTTTAATCATTCAACACCGTTCTGTTCTATTATAGATCACCATTTTTAGTAAACAAACTAATTGTAAATACGATTGTACAGTTTCAGTAAATGGAATCGTCAAAAAGCAAATTTTCACCGCTTAATAGTTTTTAACATTATTTAAAAGAGTTAACACATAGCTATTTGATTTAAAACTAGTGAAAATTACAATTGGTCAGGTGTTATATTGCATAACATAATAACTTCTTATCGATATTCCACATAAGTCATAATTTTAATTCTACATGATAAATGTCAAAAATGGCCATTGAAAATAGAAGATATTTAAAAGTTCCTAGTATTCCATCAAAAATATCTCCAAAATATCCTTTAAGTATTTTAGAACTACCAAGTGAACAGTCCCTGTGTTAGAAATATGGTATTAAGTAAAAACAAAAACTCAGTTGATGAGGTAGTAAATCTTTGACTGAAGTGGTTGGAACACATATTACATAGGCTCGATCACCCCCTACACCGAAGAACGAAGATTTTTGGTGTAAGAGCAAGCTGGAAGAAAGCTAGGAATGATCAAAACAAGACGTGCAAAAGTCTATAGAGTCATTGACAATTTGACTGAGCCAGCTTACCAGGTATAGACTACCTGGTTAGGATACGAGGAATAACCGTAAACGATGGTTAGAGACCTTGAATGGCATGGCTCAAAATTGTTTACAATGGTGTTGATGCATCAATTTTTTCCTAAGTTTTAAAATTCCTCATAATCATTTTAATTCAATAATTTATATTTTCTTGAGTTGTACCTTCTATGTCTAATTTTTCCGACCACCACTTATACTATTTTAACCTCCACTACTCTGAGATTCACTTTAACAATTTCATCTGTGTGCTAATGGCATATGGCAACTTGAACTGATGTATACATGTACGAGATTCTACATTGCGTTTGACTGTCTAACTGACAGTTGATAATTTAGTTTCACGATTGTTACTTGTTACTTAATGATTTTCTCGAGATCAAACAACAGAGTAGGAATTGAGGACATATATTACTTCGAAAGCTAGTATTTGACCAATATATTTCATAGAACGGATATTAAAAACACATAGGTAGGAATTATTAGGCATATATTACCACTAGTAACGTAAAACTAAAAACACTTTACGTTCAAGTAGACTTTCGAATACTGCCTACACTTAGCAGTAGATAACTAATACGTCCATATTCTATCAGATGATGAGATACTGTAATCTAAATTATATGGTATTGTATGAACTAACACTGTTAAAATGCATTCATTCAACTAGATAAAATCACCACCTCAGTATGTCAGGCAGTTCTTTAAAGGTCGGTGTAGATAATCTATGTTGAGAATTCTATCTAACTGATTAATAAGTGAATTTGACTGTTGTTTGAATAATTCACAAGTATAAAATCCTTTGTGGTTAGTTTCTGATAAACTTATAAATTACAAAAGATAATATAAAATTACATTAAAATCTAATTTTACTTATTAGCGTTTTTATTAACTAAACAATACACAAAGTAACTCACCACTAATAAAATTTATGACTGAATATAATACACAACACTTATAATAAATAAGACAGTTTCTCCCTCTTGAAAATAGGAATAATCGATTCTTTATGTATTAATCTCATATTTATATTAGAGGTGCTCATTTGTAAATAATATCAGGTTTATTTAAAGTTAAAGTGAAAAGAACACTTTCTTCCAATCAGATCTAATAATAGGACAATAAATCTATTGTTTTATTAATACACAATTTAAAACTAGGATTGGTTAAATTGTTGACAATAAGCATAAAAGTCATTGTATATATTACAACAGGTAACTCTATGAAAAACAATGTAACAATTGTGACCTTTATGTCTTTATATTCGTCCAAACTAATAGATTTCTGTAATAAAAGCCAAAAAATACTATGAATATTTTTGTTATCTTAGAAAATCATAACCGATTATTTAGATTACAAAAAAGAATAGTTATGAAATAGAACTATATAGTGCATTTAACAAACAGTGATCAACACGAAATTCTCACTGGTTTTATTCACTTTCTCTAGTTAAACTTTGGGTTTCCAAAAGAATATTTGTTGAGTCTCTTATTGTTATCTTTACACGAAACTAATGAAAGGTAATTGGGGGATTTCGGTAGAATAGATAACTAAAACTACTTTATTCATTACGTACTGAAAGCTCATGAACAACTGATTCATCACTGAGTAGTGACTAACTTTACAAATACCCAATTTTTTAGGTGTTGATCAGGTTTCCTGTTAACTACCTCCGACCAACTAACGTCTCAATATAATGAATGAAACATCGATTCACTTAAATCACCGGGTACATTGCGACTTAATTGATAGAATTTTAACAGCATTAAAGCACTAGACAAACGTGGAATTGAGTACTATTCAGGAATCCATCTATTACTAACATCTTAGTCTAACAGAAAGTCATTAACAGCCTCGATAATTAAGTCGTGTAATCTAAAATTGTGAAGCTGAGTAGCGCGGATTAAAGTTCCCTGGAGACCATCACTTCCTTCAAGATTACAGATACACCTTGCTGAAAAGAGCCTAATAGCAAGAAAACTACGTGCAAATTTCTTCGCTAACCACCTGACAAGATTTATTTACGTTAGAAAAACAATCAATATAAGTATTTCGATAAAATTAGACATACTTTAAGATAGATTTCCTTAAAAATTTATATACCCATTTATCAACAATTATATGGAAGAGTGAGGAAAGTTAGGGATATCCAAATAATGCTATGCTTCCGAATGATTTGAAATACACTAACGAGTTATGAACCCTAATTATAAATTAAAGTATTATTTTTTCAACACTTATTTTGATTATCAGCGTTTCTTCAATATAATTTAGAAAATGAAACAGTTGTATTACTTTAATTACTCAAACAATTATTACGTTTTAGAGATGATGAACGATTATTGAATATATTTTACAAAGATGAGTATAATTAAGATTGTTATAAAAATGAACTATGACAGATTACAAAGAAAATTATGAACTAAATAAATAATTATAAGCAAAGATGAATAGTGGCTAGCAGTGGAATCCAGGACGCGTGTTTCGTCCTATTTGAAACTCGTCAGCTGGATGTGCCTGCATCTCAGAGTTGATGTTGACTCTGGAACTCGGACCTAGTACCTTTCGCCTCAATGAGATTTAAACAAACAATACCAAGTGAATTCAAACTTCACTCCATTGCACAAGCTAGTGGCTATCAGGACTCAGCAGCTGAGTAGATAACGCGATGGCGTTTGAAGCGAAAGGTACTGGGTTCGAGTCCCAGAGTGAACATCAACACTGAGATGCAGGTATATCCAGCTGACAAGTCCCAAATAGGATGAAACGAGCGTCCTGGAATTCACTGCTAGCCACTATCCATCTTTGCTTATAATGCTTGTTAATTAAGGCTATATCGAGGCAATATGCCCAGGATGCACATATGCCAATAACAGACTGATCAATTTCAGTACTAAAAATCAATGGGAAGATTCAAACAAACAATACCAAGCGAATTCGAATAAATAATTATCTAGTTGATATGTAAAATTTAATTCCAATTATCATATTCCACGTGTTACGTTTGCCTGAACACCGATTACCACGACGCGCAATGTTGACTAGTGTAGGGGATGGTTGGAAGAGAGTTAGGGGCGGCCAAACCAAAACATGGCATCAGTGCTTGAAGTCACTAACTTCTAGTCTGAGCCGTGTTGGCAGATGCAGACTACCTGGTTGGGGTGCGCGTGACTATCGTAACCAATGGTTGGAGACGGTGTGTGACATGGCTCGAAATCGATCACAATGGCGTAGGTGTATACACTCTTTATCTTCCCTTAAACCTTGAGATTAAAATTGCTTTATAACTTTTTTCCTTCCTATACTATATCCTTATAAACAACCTTTCTTTATATACTACCACCACTAAATTAATTACTTCTATGAATCCGGTGTTCATCTTGTTGTGCTAACGAGGTATGGCAACTTGGACCGATGCATATATGTGCCTGGTCCTACGTTGTAGCTGACTGACTGATTCCTTTTTTAAACATGTCTTTGTTACACTGTTTGAAGATCAGTATGCTTTCATGTTTTTTTTCGGAATCACTTATCATGAGTAAATATCACTTCCTTTAATGTACACAAATTTATTAACTTATTCTTCATTAACAAACACTGTTGAAGAATGATAACATCTACATCCTTCATTATTGAATTTCAACAATCTAACTATAACAATTATTTACAAAGAAATCATACTGAGATGATAATATAAAGAACTATAATCTTAATTAGAGCATTATACAAACCTTTATGATATCTGTAAGTGATGTATCTCTTCTCTTTATTGAACATTTATACTTTTGCATGACAGTATTTAATCCAGGATTTATAAATATAAAAATAAATTTAAAAATTACTCATTTCTACCCTAACAAATAATAAAAAAATTACGCAGTACTTACCAAAGTAGCTGATTTACTACATGTAAGGCTAAACGTCCTAGTGTAACATTGAAGTGATGTTCAAAATTGAGTTATTTAGAGGACAACGATCTTTATATAAAAACAAGTGTTCCATTTGCGAATGGATACTCCAACAATGTAGACAATAGGCTAAACTTCACGGTTAAAGTATGACACTTACTACAAAACTCATTTTCAATAATTATTAAACTTATATTGAAGTGATAATCATTTGATAAAACACAAGACGCTTGTATTGATAATCCGACAAAACTACCAACTAACAAGTTTCAATTCATCTACAGCTTCTGAACATAATCACTTCAACAGAATTAAGAATATTTAGCAGCACGTTGAATATTATGAATTATCTAGACAGAAGTAACATTGAAGAAGGCTAAAGTTTATTCATAACTGTTCAATATTGACGTTAGATAAGGTTATCCTCAAATAGTAAGTTTTGATAGCTTTTATATACTTTTATTTAACGTTAATATAAAGGAAATTTAGCATAAATCATTGTGTTGATTATTTGTATATTTCCAGAATTTACAATTTTATAAAATAACTAACATAGTCTAAAATATAGTGGTTAGTGGATACAGACATGAAATGACAGTATGAAAAATGATGCATGAAAAGTCATAGCACTAAAATATAGTAAAAATAAGAAAATACAGTTTAAGTTATAAACATACCTGCATAACATCAGGAACAACGTTACTGTTTTCAACATTGTTTTCCACGGGTTCACTAATGTGAAAAAAAAGTCAAACAAAAAAACAGAATGAAAAGAGCTATGCAACAATAACATAGTAGTAAAAGATTACCATAACGGTATACAGTGATATGCAGAGATCACAGGGTTTAACGTTCAAACTTTTACTCAAGAGCATATAACATATTTATAAAGAAAAATAATGAGCAATTCTAGACACCAAGATACTGTGATGTCTACAGCAAAAAGTAGATGTATTCGAATTTGGAACCATGATTTAACATCAAATTAGTTATATTCTACAAGTATAACATAAATACAGTAATTTGAAATGAGAAAAAACACAATTTATCGACACTTAACCTCTAGGCCACTGAGCTGGCATATAATGGTCTTAACGTCTAACTTCCATCAAATCACGATATTGAACAACCTTTGTCCATCGCCTATAAAGTTTCTTTAAAAATCTGTCAATAGTGGACCTCAACCATCATATATGAGACAGTTTTCCAACGCAAGCAACCAAAGATAGTCGTTCAACATCGTGATTTCATTAAAGTTAAACGTTAACAACATCAGACGCCGGCTCAATAGCCGTTCGCGAGTGAGACCGAGGATCCTGGGTTCGATTTCTTTATTGCGGGGTCACGATACGTACTGCTGAAGAGTTTCATACTGGGAAAAAACAAATGTCCAGTGCTTTTTAATTCTCAATGAAGGTTTGTCTAAGATTATTTAGTGATTTAAAACTATGAAAACTCTATAATCCCCATAAAATCTACGCTAAAAATAAGTGGTGATCAATTATTTTATAAAAACGTTATCGAAATAAAAATTTTAGTGATTAAGCTGTTTGATTTCCAGCAAGTTCAAATTATACCATCACTAGCAACTTCCTCTTTTCATTCTTTACAAAAGCTTTAACGAGTCTTGAATGTCTTATGAATGTAGGCAAAAAAAGACGGCGCAATTACCGTGAAGCAATCTCTCTACCGTCTAGTTCATAATGAGTATAATTCACAGCGAAATAGACTCTGAGAAATAACTAACTTTACTAAGTTTTCATTTATACATGAACGATAAATTTGCTAAGAGTTTACCTTTAAAAAAGCATATGTTGCTTAATAAATCTGATAAAGCAATCAAATAGACAAGCATATACTATTAATTAGAAAAATAAAATTTACATAGCATATAAAAACTAATTAGAAGCAAGTAATTAGAAACGTGGTGGATATTATAATTACAAATAGAATTTTACATTCATAATTGAGTTGAAACGAATTATATATATATATATATATATATATATATATAGTGAAATGATAGTATAAAAAGTAACTACATTTTGGAATGTATCATTTGAAATAAAGAACAAAATGAGAAACTTACCCTAAACTTGGATTGGATTCATTAGAATGATCTTGTGCAACTTCTAAGTTATTACCGACATCAGGATTTATATCAGACTGAAGATCTGGTTTGGTTTTTCGTTTTATAGGGAAAGTTAAAATCAAATAAGTATATGATGAAGGATATAAATAACACTACTCAAAAATACTAAACTAGAACTTAACTACTCATAAGTAACTAGACCTGTGCAAAATTTTAAAAAACGATGATAAAATAAAAAACAGACGAATCTCTGCATACAGTTTAGATCGTAATATAAAACTGTCTATAGAAATGTTGTCGGATATTCACCAGATCAATAATAAGTGAACATTTGCTTTAGGGAAACTGTCAGCTGGGACGAGGATACTTCCAGCTGACGAGTCAAAATAAGAAGAAATATGCACCTTGGATTCCACTGTTAGTCATAATTTTTCTATTATACATAAACTTGTGTCATAATGGTTATATCCAGGCAATCTCCACAGGATACACATATGACAACAAAAACTGATCAAATTTCAGTAATTAATATCAACAATGAGATAACCTAAACCCTTACTAATAATGATATAAACTGTTAAGATATCTAGCATAATTGTACAAATTATTTTTACGGATTTATGCTTACACAAAAAAGACTAGTTAAACCATTTTATGACTTAGATATATGGAAGAATTTTTTTTAGAAATGATCAAACTTTGTCTCAATAAAAAGTTTTAAAAGTTGAAAGCGTGAGTCAATTGAAGCTAGACCACCAGGGAAAACCTGGAAACCGTCCAGTGCTATCACACCATTTTTGAAATAATTTTTTTAATTAAATTGATGTAATGCATTATTATCATAAACTTTCAGAGAATAAAATTGGCTGAAGTCAATTATATTTTCGATTTCGCCTCAATCAACTGCTCTAAAATGATGTAAATAGGAATCACAGTAATAGACTATGTATTATGTCATTGGTTTAGTTTAGACTAGTCAGTGAACTGGTTAGAATGTGCCGTTATAGAAACTCAGCTCTATGAGTATAATTTAACTATACATCACAAACACATAGATAAGTTTTCGAAAAAAAAGGAATAAAACAACTGTTGAGAATAAGTTAACCGTCAATGATTATGATAAGAACTATGTTTTATTTATAAGCATGTAAATTACGGAATACAACTAATATAATATGAATGTATATACAAAAATATAGTTTTATTCATGCTCTTTTGTGAGTGCCAAACTTTTAAAAAATATAATTTAATTAACTTTAATGTAAATCAACAACCAAAAGCATATTCATAAACCCAGCTTTTAATAATATTAGGAACGTGAGTGATGATGATACTCCTTGACTATTCATACTGAAGTTGGTAAGTTTCTTGACTTAAAAGCAGCATTTGACTCTGTAGACCGAGAGGTTCTGTGGCAGTGTCTGTCATTGAAAGGTGTATCTGAGAAGTACATAAACCTTGTGAAGGCTCTTTACTCGAACACTACCAGTCGAGTGAGAGCTTATGGCGAACTGTCATATGATCTTACAACCTCAAGTGGTGTGCGTCAAGGCCGTCCACTATCCCCATTTTTAATTAACTTCATTATAGACCTGTTGCTGGAAATAACACTCTCGTCGACTGAATTTTCTGGAATTCATCTTCTACCAGGAGGTTCACTTATCGACTTAGAATACGCAGATAACATAGTCCTGTTTGGTGAAGACGCTGATAAAATGCAGTCTTCTGTTAGAACTGAGTAATAATACCAGGATGTTTGGGATGCGTTTCTCCCCATCCAAATGTAAATTGTTACTCCAGGACTGGCCTGCGTCAACACCTGAACTAAGGGTGGGGAGTGAAGTCGTCGAACGCGTCGACAACTTCACTTATCTTGGAAGTCTGATCAGCCCTAATGGGTTGGTATCTGACGAAATCTCAGCACGGATTCAAAAAGCTCGTTTGGCTTTTGCCAACTTACGTCACCTATGGCGAAGACGAGATATCCGTCTATCAATTAAGGGGCAAGTATACTGCGCAGCAGTTCGCCCTGTTCTACTTTACGGCTGAGAAACATGACCATTAAGAGTAGAAGGTACTCGTAGGTTAGTAGTATTTGACCACAGATGCCTTAGAAATATTGCTCGCATCTGCTGGGATAACCTGGTAAGTAATAGTGAGGTTAGACGCAGGGTATTAGGGAATGACGGTAAATCAGTTTGATGAGGTGATGAATCTTCATCGACTGAGATGGTTGGGCCACGTGTTACGTATGTCTGAACACCGATTACCACGACGCGCAATGTTGACTAGTGTAGGGGATGGTTGGAAGAGAGTTAGGGGCGGCCAAACCAAAACATGGCATCAGTGCTTGAAGTCACTAACTTCTAGTCTGAGCCGTGTTGGCAGATGCAGACTACCTGGTTGGGGTGCGCGTGACTATCGTAACCAATGGTTGGAGACGGTGTGTGACATGGCTCGAAATCGATCACAATGGCGTAGGTGTATACACTCTTTATCTTCCCTTAAACCTTGAGATTAAAATTGCTTTATAACTTTTTTCCTTCCTATACTATATCCTTATAAACAACCTTTCTTTATATACTACCACCACTAAATTAATTACTTCTATGAATCCGGTGTTCATCTTGTTGTGCTAACGAGGTATGGCAACTTGGACCGATGCATATATGTGCCTGGTCCTACGTTGTTGCTGACTGACTGACTGACTGGTAAGTTAATTAATACTTTCAACGTCCAACGTAATAAATTAATTTTGTACTCTTTGTTTGAATTTTCCCATTGATGTTTGGGACTGCAATTGATCAGCTTCTCATTAGCATATGTGCATCCTGTACGGATTGTCTCGATATTGCCTTAAGTCACAAGCATTATAAGCAAAAATGAAATTAAACTTCACCCCATTGCACAAGCAAGTGGTTGTTAGGGCTCAGAAGCTAAGTAGATAACGCGATGGCGTTTGAAGCGAGCGATACTGGGTTCGAGTCTTGGAATGAACATCAACTCTTGGATGCAGGTGCAGCCAGCTGACGAGTCCCAAATAGTACGAAGCGCGCGTCCTCTACTTCACTGTCAGCTATCATCCATCTTTGCTTCCAACCTAATAGTTGAAAATTAGTTGTCTCAATTAACAATTACTAAGACAAAACTGAAATTTTTAAAACAATTCTAAGAGTTAAATTTCTAATGGAAATTTAAATCGTTTTCTATTCATTTTTCATTATGTACCACAAAGATGAATATACAATAAATTAACAAGAATTAACAGAAATCACCACTTTTAAATTCTGAATAACATGTGATAGTGAAATGAAAATAATAATCTTTCTATACAACAACTACTTATACTATTATTTTTGAAAAGTACAACAATAAGTAAAGCCTAGTTGTGAAGCTCAAGAAGCATCATTAAAATTTAGTGTTAAGACGATGTAAAATGCGAAAACTTGTAATTATTACTATTTTAATTAATACAACTGATGTGATCCAGTGAATTGATATAATAGTATCGAACACATTGTATACAAGACGAATGGACAATAAATAACAACTGCTTTCCTTAACACATTACTTTACTAGCCACTAACTTGAAACAATGGTAGAAGAATACCACCTGTATCCTAAATTAATATTATTATTACACTGATATGATAAACATAATTTATTACATCCACTTCTAGACAATCTGATACTACGATAGGAAAATTACCGAAAAATTTACTCTGAGGACTTCAAAAACAGAATTAACTATGCAAAGAGATTATTTTGATAATAGACCATCATAAAGTTCCAACAACATTGATTGATATATAATTCAATCATCTTACTGCTAAAAAGTGATATAAACAAATAACATGTAGTAAAAACATTGTTTAATTATTATCAGTACACACAACAAGCTTTTTTTTATTAAATATTAAGTAAACAGATATTCAATTCTAGATATTTTACATAGACAAATCATTCTAACATGATAGGTGAATACCGAGACAAACATGAACAAAAAAAAACTTCTTTTCTTTAGCTGACACCACATTTATGAAATATCTACGATCCCATGCATAAAACCTATTACATAAAATATAACCTCACATGATTGATAAACGAAGTTTAACCAGTAGTTTTAAGAGCACTATAAAATGTTTTGGTTTATCTTATTTTATGAAAGCCCCCAAATGCCCTGGTATGGCCGAGAGTGGTGAGAGCCCGCTCTCCCTCTCAAAATGCCCTCGAATGGACACACGAATATATAGCCTCTACCAAGGAAGTCCTACTCACTGCCTTCTCGTGCCACAGGTGTTGTTTACGAAATTGAGAGGACGAAAAGCGAATGTCTAGCGCTTTAACCGGATTGGTGGACATGGCGAGTTCACCAAGGGGGAGTTGGAAAACACTGATTCCAAACCAATGGTGTACATGGACTCCAGGATCCTGAAAAAACAAATGGCGTATGAACCAATCGTTGGTTACCGGCTACCATGGGACTACATCTCCTCACGATGCTCCACTGTCTTGTGGACTAGACCTTCATGTCAAAGGCTCGGGGTGTGGCCCCATAAGAAAACCACCTGCTTCAGTCTGGGCACCTGAGCAGTATCACAGCCCTCACACAAATCAAATGAGATTTGTGAGGCGAATATTTATCTGGTGCTTCCTTGTACCAATATTTATGTGTTTAAATAAATAAAATAAATAAATTTGTGAAAAAGACTACACGAGAGAAAAATTCACATGAGAATAAAAGATAAATATATATACAAGTGAAAATATTTTCATGAGATTATAAATAACCTAACCAAAAAATTGTTCATTGATGTTTTCAAAGTACACAGAAAAAAAATCAATAGTAAATTGTCATTTTTGGTGTAACATTGATTGAAAAAATATCAAAAAATAATTTCATTTTTATCCAGTTTGTCTTCTACAGTGATTTTCTTTTTTTTGGTATTGCAATACATTTAAACAAGTGGTGTAGTAGAAACAGTACGATGAGAATTGATTAGTTTTGTTAATATTTAATTATGTCTGATACATAAAAATCATGAATTTCAATGAAGAATAAGTTCCTTATCTATTATCATA